GTTATTTTCTAAATTGTGTGTGTATTCCCACGATTCTTATTTGGGTCGACTTTATTTTATTGAAGGATGATCCGAGTACAAATGCAGGGCGAGGCTCCAATTTGACGGAAGATGGTCACATGGAAGGTGATGCAAGTGTCATGGATGGTGATTCTGGAGGATTTGGAGCTGTTGGAGCCGTGCCAGGCGTTTATAACCTTTAGGATTACATTTATATGTTCCCTATTTTATGTAAAATGACTTTTTTAATTGTTCCTTTGATTCCTCAAATACTGCCAATACTTGTTTAGGTTTTCATTCTGTATTTATACTCAAAATTTTCTTAATTTTGTTAGTTGTAGACCAGGTGTCCGAAATGCCATCGAGATTGCTGCTACCTTGGCCAAGGAACAAATGATGGGATCTTCCTTGTTCGGTCGAATATCTCCCATGTAATGATTACTATTTTTCCCTTCTTTTTCATCTCTTTTAGAATTATTGTTTTCTAATCAAAACATTGTGTTGGTTTCTCACTAGATTTCGTTTCATAACTCAAAATTTGTCATCTTTGTTTAGGAAATTTTGCTGCAGAATGGTTTTTAAGATTGTAGACCTATATGTGCTTCGGTGTTATAATAATTATATGAATTTTTTATTGTGATCCCATTTTAAGTGGTATCCTCCGGTATGAAAAATGAGTACAAACTTGTAACTTCTTTTCTGGATTCACATTGTTGTCGTGTCATGACAATGTGCTTTTGAGTTAGCGTCTGCTTGCAATGGATGCATGTCTGTTTCACAAATTACTCATTATTTTGTGTAGAGATAATTGTTGTTTTGTGATGGAAAGGCCACTCTAATAGAAAACATTCTGTTCCCTTGAGTATCGATGTTGGATAACGTTTTGACGCTGATGCAAAGAGTTTATTAATTTAGGAATGCATTAAAATAATGAGATAAACTTGGCATACTTGTAGCAATGAAATCTTTAATAGGTTACAATGTTTTTCTCTACTTTAATGATGTAATGCTCCACAAGATTATTGTGGTTTATTTTCTTAAATTATATTCAGGAGCTTATGATGTTTTTGCCAGGTTCTTGGTTCGAGAAGGTGCCCGAGTATGGGCAAAGTCCAACGGCATTGCTTTACCAGCTACCACAACCGAGGCAGATCAGGTGTAGTTATTTTTTTCACCACAGTTTTGTTAGTGTAAAAGTACTTCAGTTATGTCATCTGCAATGGTTATATAGTCAGAAACTTCTTGTATCGTAGGATGCACGTATTGCACTTTTTTGCATTTTTTGAAACAGTGGCTGGTGACAGAGGGGGCAAAAGCACGGTGGAAAAAGTATAAATCATTGCTTGTGCATGCCAAATTTAAGACACAGAATTCCGCTGAAGGACTTTCTTGTGAAGCAAGGGAGACAGTTAACACTTCAGGTGGTCCATTGGTGTTTTGTTCTTGGTTCAATAATCCCCTTTATTCCAAACCATTAATACATTTGTTGTAATATTACTCATCTGCCTTTCCTAGATGGTGAGACTGACCTGTGCATGTACTTTTCTGCCTATTTTACTTTATCCTAGTGTGACTTGATATCTGCAATTTGTGAATTACGGAGTCAAAATTTCCCCAGTACTAGGTTCATCATTTTTGTATAGATGAGACAAATTGCCTGGTGGTTCATGTCATGTTTCTCTAACAGGGGTGCTGGTTGAGTCAGGATTCTCTCGATGTTATGTGTCTGTCATTGGTTCTGCTTAATGGTTATTGTTATGTGTGATTAAGCCTTTTTTTGGCTGGAACATATATTGTTGATTGTTTCTTCAATGTTTAATTTTTGTGGGAGATGTAAGTCGTACATCTGTGAGATATTGAACAGATACTTATGCTAGTTTTATATCTTTTGCAAAAGTACAAGCTCAACCTTGTGAACCTCTGAAGGAGAATGGGAGAGGTCAATTATCTGTAAAACAGGCAAATGGAAGAAGATAGCATCATGGACACTGTTGGAGTCATTTGTGTGGACACTGAAGGACACATAGCATATGGGGCCTCAAGAGGTGGTATTGCGCTGAAGGTAACAAGTCTTCTAATTGTTTTTTCGCATCATTATTTTTTAGTGGCGTAGATAAGTTTTAACTTACTTTTCTCTCCCTTCGTATGAAAAAAACAAATGTAAAAGGTTAGTGGGCGTGTGGGGTTGGCAGCAATGTATGGTTCAGGCTGTTGGGCTTCCTCTAAAGACCCCGTTGTAGCTCCATTCATGGTTGTTGTGTTACTGGTGGGGGAGAATACTTGATGAAAGGATTTGCGGCTCGAGAGTGCTGTGTCTCGTCATCATTTTGTGATTGACTTCTGGTTAAATTTTCTAATTTTTGATATGAACCTAGTACTTGATGATGATTTGTTAGACTTTCTTGTATTTTGGCTGCTGTCACTTTTCTAAACCTCTTTCTTTATGGAACAAGTTGGCTAGAAAACAAATGTTGTTGAACTCTTTACGCAGATTTATGTCTTTTAGTCAACTCCTTTTCTAGAAAACAAATGGTTCAGGAAGGCCAAGAATACTACTTTTCTTTCTATCTCACGTTCAAGGTTCTGGTTGCTTCCTTCACCCGCACTAAGAGACGATTCAAGTTCAAATTTTCTTGTTGAATTTATCTTGCTGGTCTCAGTTCTTCGGAGCACGAGACAGCAAAGTAGAACTGGGATAGACCATTTTGAATCGCGAATTGGTCTTTCTGAAAAGACATTACCGTAAATGTAATTTTGTTTGAATTGATACAATTCTGAATTTAAAACTGTATATCTTATCGCATGTTATAGATACTCTGGCAACTGTCAACTACTTCCCACATGTACTATGTTAATGGAATATTAATTGGTTTCCTTTCCCGCCAATACAATTACAACAACTTTCTTTCTTCCCCAGGGCCACGTAAACACTAATACCCAAAGCATGCTAGAAGTCAAGCTCTCTAACTCTCAAGAAATTTATCCAAGGAAAGTCGTGGCATCGCTCAAGGAAATGGCTGCAAAGGCCACCGTCAACTGCTCCGTAAATGGTCTTTCGCTGATAGCTTCCGATCGGGACGGCCCTACTCTCGCAGGCAGCGCTACGGACCAAATTTTCTGTCTTTGATTTCTGTCGCTATAACGCTGCTGGTATCAATCTTGAGCTATTACACAACACTCTGTATCTTGCTGTTGAAGACGTGTCCATCAGCGTCAAATCTTATGATGGGAATGATATCATGTTTTTTTAGTGTAGATATTCTGTTTGGTGATNCAGGCAGCGCTACGGACCAAATTTTCTGTCTTTGATTTCTGTCGCTATAACGCTGCTGGTATCAATCTTGAGCTATTACTCAATACTCTGTATCTTGCTGTTGAAGACGTGTCCATCAGCGTCAAATCTTATGATGGGAATGATATCATGGACTTTACGTTTCTGAAGGGTCGTTAATACTATCTTTCCCCTTTTCTTCAACTGGTTTAGTTTCAAAAGACCTATCAATGGTTGCAAGTTCTTTTATTCATGAATCTTGTAACTGAATTTCTTGAAAACGAATTATTTTCAAGTGAATGTTCTATTAGATTCCAAGTTTATGTTGGTTTTGATATATAATAATCAATATGATGGGTGGATGGTATGACAAATAGAAAGTAAAAGGGAGAAATTAGGTTCAGAGATATTGAAGGGACTGACATAAAATTTTGAATTTTGTAATTGACAGAATGTTAAGAATGAGGGAGAGAAGCTTTTATTGCTTTGTATTAGACGCACAAGCTTTTTGAATTTACAAAGCATAAGGGGTTATTTTAACAGAAAGTTTAACTGGGCTTAGCAGTATACAGCTCAATCTTTTAGGTTTTAACACTTGTATAAAGCAATTAATGCTTCATAATTATGGGGATAAGTATTAAAGAATTAAGGCCAGATGGAAAGCCAAATAAGGTTTATTATATTTTCGCTTGAGAAGATAAAATAAAGTCAAAGACATTGAACCCTCTGTGTTTTAGGTCATGATTCTTGCATAATTGCAGCTGAATAATGGGTATTTTACTTTGGCATGCTACAAAGTTCCTTGTTTCTCCAGAATATTGACCAATTTTATTGTCTTGATCTTATGGTCTTCTTCACTCAGACATTGTTTAATCAATTTCGAATTTTGAGGAGAATGAAAAACAAAATTGCTTTTGTTTGTCAAACATTTTCTATAATTTTTGTAAAAAAGTTCTTCCACTTTTTGAATTTAGTTAGTTTTTTAAACAAAAAATCACGTTAATTGGATAATATTGTTCTTATGGAATAAATATATAAAAATCTTGTGTTAAATTCAGAATTATATAATTAATTTCTTTACCTATTAATTAGCAAGAATGTGACTTCTTATTTAAATATATTTTTTAAAGTTTTTTCTAATTACATTTTTCTTTAATTATGTGAGAAAACAAAACCTCGAAGAAGAATGAGAATCGAGAGTTTAAGAAAAAATAACTTTTTATTGATTATTGTCGACTAAACCCTAATTATTTTATGTTTTATATAGTCTTATAAATTATTTTAGAGTAATGCTACACGTACAACACTCTTTAACACAATTTTCATTACATCATAATGTGGCATATGTCACAACCACACTCACAAATTTTTAATTATTTTAAATTTTTTAATTAATTTAAATTTTTAATATTATAATAAAATTTGTGTAATTGTAGTATATGCCACATCATCATGTTTACAAAATGGTATAAAAAAACTGTGTAAGTATAACATTACTCATTATTCTAATTCTAGAAGAATTTTAATTGTTTAATTTTAAAAGATATTCTAATTATTCTAATTGTATTATATCATAATTATTAATTATAAAAGGAATAAATCTAATTATCCTAATTCTAAAAAGAATCCTAATAATTCTATACCTAATTTAAAGGAATTTTGTTTAATTATGAACATTGAAGCCTTTGTATAAATAAGAATCTGCAGTGATTAAGTATTAATTAAATCTAGGAGGTTTTGGTTCCCCTTCCCTTGAAGCAGTTGAATTCTGAAACTCTTATTCTTTAACAACCATGTCCATGGCTTCAAAAGGTAAGAAACGCTCTTTTGAATATACAGCATCCTAGTAATTTCTTTTGTCTAGAAAAATATTAAAGTTTATTTCTGAATAAATTACTTCTAATGAAACTTTTATTTAACAATAATTGCAAATATTTTAATCTTATTTTAGATAGATCTTTTATTAGTTTATTTTTTCTTTTCAAGGTTTTATATCTAGAAAAACTATTACGAGTTACATTGTTTAAATTGAAAACTGGTCGTATAAAAGAAATTATTAGAACTTGAATCAAATAAACTGTTTCTATTAATTTTTGAAGGTTTAGATCTAAAGGAAACTATTGAATATTCTTTCTAAAATTTTTGAATACGTATAAAAATATTAATAATATTTATTAATATTTTTATAAATAATATTATACGCCATAGGATTAAAGAGAAAAATTATGGACTAAAAATCTTTTTTTGTTTTTTTTCCAGTTAAAGCCTGTAAAGCTTGGTTGGTGAGTCAACCGGAATTTTCAGGAGAGATGGCGGGAGTAATAGAAACACGAAGGAGCCCTCCACAGTCTCTTCCTCGAGAGAAGGTTCTCGCTCTCTAGTTTTATTTGAATATTTCTTTCATATGCTTTGTATTTTGGGTTTCGAAGCGTAGGTTATTTTTATTGTAATGTACTTGTTGCATTTTTCGTCTTTCTTCTGAAACCGATCATGATTCATGAATTATTTAGTTTTTTTTAGTTTGTGATTAAGATAATCTGGAGTGTTCATTTTTAGCAACAACATTGTTCTGGTACCAGTTTAGTTATCTTTAGTAATTCTTTTTTTTGTTTATTAAATATTAAAGATTCAATAAGCTCTGTAAGGCAATACTCGGTTATCATTTATAATTTATTTGGATTCGTGTTTTATTTTCACGCATGCTAATGTGCTTTATTTTTCCTTTGTAATGCAGACTTTGCTTCGAATTTTTTATAAGGTATGTCTATTGTTAAGAGTCTCGACTGTACTTTTTGGTCCCTCTGATATCAACCGGGGTTGTTGCTGTCCTCCAAAATTTATGCTTTCATTTTAAAGTTGTCTGTGAAAGTTGCATATTGACTCCCATATTGAAACTTCTCCAGATTGGGGGTCATCATTCTGGGGAGGATTTTGCAGTGAGAGGCAAGGAGCCTAAGGATCAGTTTCAAATTTATACATGGAAGGATGCTACTCTCCGAGAGTTAACTACTCTGGTATGTTGAAACACTGTTCTGCATTGCCCTTTCATTATTGTTTTGGTGTGGTGAGGAATGGTGTTAACTTGTAAACCTTCTTGAGAAGCTTGTGCTTTTAGATTCTATGAGATAGAATATGAAGTCGTTGGAGTTCATGAAATGAACCTGGGGGCTATTCAGATTGTGGTAACTTGTTTGAGAGTTTCTATGGAGTCCATGGTTTAATATCTTTGAGATGAGAACGATTTAGGATTTCTCCAATCTCCATGCAGAATCTTGTGTCCTCTCTTGTTCAGAATGTGGACCTATTTGTATTGACATTAAAATATGAGTGTGCCCCTGAGAGAACCAGTAAATTTGTATTGATGTTATAACATTATCAAATAATGCTTCGTACTCTTTATCACATTTAAATGATTACTGAATATTGCAAACTTGCAAGGGTAAAGTATGTTCTGATTGCCTCCTCTTAGCTATTGGTAATCTAATATATATGACATTTTCCTTTAAATTTTTCGTTTCCAGTTGTTTCTGCTGCAGTAGTTAATTGCCCTCTTTTACAGATCAAAGAGTTGGGATTAGCTTCAACAAGAAGAGATGCGAGACTGTCATTTGCTTTTGTGTGTCCTGATAAGAATGGTCGTTTTGTTGTGAGAGAGGTTTGTCTCTTTCTCTATAAACTTCTTTCCTACTGTCAGAGCTACACCAAGTCAACAATTGGCTAATTTTCATGTTTTTATGAAAAAATTTGCTAATCATATGGGTCCATATGATGTTGGACTGTCAGTAGTGAGGACACCAAATGTGTTTTGCCAGAGTAGTCAATAACTAAGTAACGTTGGACTGAATTGTTATTGAAATGCTATGTACTGAAACATGTTGAAATGACATGAATAAAATGGTTAAGATAATGTTTTGATTTTACTTAACTGGTTTATGAAGGTGGGGAGAACCTTGCCGTACCCATATGGAAGGCGACGAGATTATGAGAAAACATTGACTGAGCTTGGCTTTGAGGTAAAGCAAACTGCTTTTTCATGCTGTATGTCTGGATTATATTTCAGTTTTTTTTTTCCTCGTAATTTCATATTCCTCGTATTCAGATCGGAAACTACTTGGATGTGGCGATCCTGTAAAGAAGTTTTCAACCGTGATAACACTTTTAGATTGGCTGTCGNTGCTTTTTCATGCTGTATGTCTGGATTATATTTCAGTTTTTTTTTTCCTCGTAATTTCATATTCCTCGTATTCAGATCGGAAACTACTTGGATGTGGCGATCCTGTAAAGAAGTTTTCAACCGTGATAACACTTTTAGATTGGCTGTCGTTCACTTTGGATCTTGAAAGGCTTTGCAATACAACTTTTTTTTTTTTTAATAAATTCGGCCTTCGCGGGGGGAGCGGCAATCAGAACAGGAGCTATATATTTATTTTTTAATAAATTTATCTAAGGCTGCTTTTGTTTAGATTTTTTTTTCATTATGGGTGCGTTTGTTTTATTATTTTGGATAGGATTTTAAGAATAATATTGGATAGTTGAATAGGGGAGTATTACGAGGTGAAAGTTAAAAATTTATAAAAAAGCCTCTAAGTTTACTAATTTAATTAAACACCCCAACATATAAAATGACAAAAATACCTCTACCACCTGTAGTGTCAGATTTTGGCCATCATCATCGGAATCTGGCCGAAAAATCGCATTACGACACAGACCAGTTGAATTTGTGTTGTAACGCATCGTTATGGCCTTTTCCGATCAGATCCACCACAGATTTGGCCAGAAAAGGCCAGATCTACGGCCTGCTGTGGCCGTCGAACGATCGGAAAAGGCCAAAACGACGGCCAAAGATATGGCCGTCGTTTTCGGTCAATGATGGCCAAGATTTGGCCGTCGTTAACCGTCAACGACGGCCATTTCTTTGGCCGCTGCTGACGGTCAAATCCATTGTGGATCTGGCTGGAAAAGGCCAGATCGGTGAATTACCGGGCAGTTTTGGTCAATAATTCATCGTTGTGGCAAATTCCAACTACCCTCGACGGTGGTTGTCGAAATCTGGCAAGTATGAGTCACGGGGGTGTTTTTATTAATTTTTAAACTTTTTTTAAGGGGTATTTAATGAAATTAATAACCTTATTGGGTCTAAAAGTAATTAAAAAATAGGGTAATATTACTGAAATAATGTGCCAAACATTATTTGGAGAATAGCGTTGGGAATATGGGCAGAAATAATAAGCCAAACATGCCCTATACTATCCTATCCTATCCAATCCAGTCAAATAATTCACTTTTCTATTCAAATCAAAATCTAATCCTATTATATTCAACTCAAAACATTTAATAATTATTTTTCTTAATAAAAGTTTATAAATTAACAAAAATACTCCCACCCACCCAAGCCACTATCACCTGCCAATAGCAACCATCACCGCCAGTCGTTGCCAACGTTGTAACAACGTACGACATGTTGGAACTGATCGATCGTGCGCCAATATGTTCATTTATGGTCAGATCCACTATGGATCTGGCTAAAAACGGCTAGATCTATGGCCAAAGATGACCATCATTTGGTTATTATTGATAGCTAGATTTTTTGCTGTCGTTTAGCTGTTAATGACAACCAAAATATGATCGTCGTCAACGGCCAGATTTTTGACCGTAGATCTAGTTGTTTTCAACCAGATTCATGGTAAATTTAGATAAAAAATGCTAGATTGGCGCATGACAGGCCAGATCCAACCGATCGTACACCATTTCGATGACTTCTTGCCACTGTTTGGCGATGGTGGCTAGCTTTCGGCAATAGTTGGGTGGGTGAGGGTGTTTTTGTTAATTTATAAAAAAAAATTTGTGGGGGTATTTAGTTAAATTAACAAATGTAGGAGGTTAAAAGAATCTAAATACTTTCAAAAAATATTTTTCAAAACACATTCTTAGAATCCTATTCTATTTCATTAAATAGTGTTTTATTATAGAATACTATTCTAAAAAGTAAAACAAAAGCACCCTAAATATTCTTTTTAAAACCTAAATTGGAATCCTGTGTTCCCTTTGGTTCAGTATTATTATACTATATATTCCATTATCCTATACTAAAATCCCAAAAATAATTTTGTTTTAATATTCTCAAAATCTAATTTTACTTTATTTAACTCTTAAAACGTTAATAATTACCTTTCTCGTAAAGATAATCCAACTTTATTTTTTCCAAAATACTATGTCACAGGTATATGTTTTTCCGTATATACCATACGACATAAAGAAGAAAAAAAAAATACCTCAATATGAACACAAAATCCCCCGTTTCCAAAACATCAAATTTATCATAAAGTAACAAATAAAAAAAAAAAAAAGTAAACGACTTTTTTCTCATCCAAATTATAGCTTAATGATACTTTCTCACTCACAAACTTTTAAAATACTATTGTACTATTCAAATTTATATTCCGATATCGTTACGACTCCACACTACCATCATTTTCTTCCTCAATCATCACTCACTAAAACCTCTCAAACTTTACTCCTGCCGACCTGCCAATTGCCAACAATCGAGAGATTGAGTTTGCACAGCTGCCTCTCCCAAGTCAAATTCTGACCTATCTCAACTACTAAAATCTAACTTTTTACTATCAAAAGACTCATCGACCTCCCCTCTTAAAAAATACCAATAATCTAAATCAAGTTTGCTCTCTGTTCACTAACAGAATACAAATTTGAATAATAGAGTAATATTTTAAAAGTCAATAGAGGAAAAAATGTCATTAAACCATTATTTGGTGTGGAAAAAAGTGGTTAACTAAAAAAAAAAAAAAAAAGAATCATAACTAAAGCTCAATTTCTTCCTGTGAGACTGTGATAGTAATGGATGCAGAAAAATGGGAGATAACAGAAGATCCCCTGAAGATGTAACGGCATAAATCGTCAAGTGTTTCCTCGATATTAAAATTTAGACGTTGAGGTTCATCGAATCTAGAGTTTCATACAAAATCCGGTTCAATCTTCATTCGAAAACCATTGTTTTAAAACCCGGACTGGAGGACAAACCGTTTTGTTGTCCAGGTCACGGGTCAACCGGTCCAACCGGTTGGACTGGTCAGTTGGACCGATGATGTCAACAATATTTTTTAAAAAAAATTACATATTAATCCCTTAAATTTCAATATATTACAAAAATTCTCCTAAAAAGTTCAAATTAGTGCCTAAAATTTTTATTTATTCCAAAAATGGCCCAATAAAATTATCAATTAATCCCTAAACTTTTGATATATCTCCAAAATACCCCTATAAAATTACAAACCCTCATAATTTTAAAATATTTCAAAAACCCCCCTGAGACCTAAACCGGACCGGAGAAGCTGCCGGTTACCGGTCCGACCGGCCGGCCCGATCCGGTTTTTAAAACAGAGTCGAAAACCTGTTCAGTTCAATTGAAATCTACCCTAAGCTGTGGTAATTTTTCTAGTAAGTTACCGATTTCGAGCACCTAATTTTTCTTAGGCTGGCGGTGGTGGGCGCTGAAATTGTGGGGCTGTGATAGGGTAGGTGGATTTGGGGTGGCTTTTTGGACTGCGGGGGCTGGTGTCCGGATTTTTGCAAATTAGCCCAGGAGTGCATTATTGCCTTTGTTCAAGCAGTGCTAGTCAAATGTTGGCACCAATTCCAAATGGGAATTAATTACATGGTTCTCATATGAGAGAAAAAAAAAAAAAAAAAAAAATCGAAATTTCAATAAGATTTCAAGCTTTCATCTCTTCTTCTGTCTCTACTTAGAGCAGGAGAGCCATACATACTGCTTACACGCAGAAATAATGTCTTCCTTCAAAACAAATTTTATGAAGGTCCTATCAAAATTTATCAAGAAAAATTAATAATAATAATAATAATAATAAAAAAAAAAATGGGATAATTGGAAAGTGTACGACTGCCTGTGTCTCTAAGTCTTTCTGTACAATTGATACCAATGAAACAAGTTATCCGCTATACATTATTTTTAATCATCTTTGTTTTCCTTTTACCTGATTTATACTGGTTATCTTCTATATTGCTAGTGTTCCTTCAGTTAATTGGTTTTCATCTGAAGCATCCAAGGACTGAGCTTTGGGCTTACTCATTACACGAGAAAATCCATAACCAAGAGAACTTCCACTAGCTTCACATAGCTGCACGTATAAAGCGATCACAACAATATATATAATCAAGCAAGAAGAGTATTTATTTTAAGCTCAGTAGTCAGAAATAATTGAGATTTTTAAAATTTGATTGAAAGAACACAGTACCTCAGTAAGCTCAGAGAGGTGTCGAGACCTAAATTCATTGATTGTTGCTGTAATCTCCGACATGGGCAGTTTCGCCTAAACAGGAAGGCAAAAAAAAAGAAAAAAAGTTTAAAAGAAAAAACAACAGAAGGGAGGGAGAGAACATAGCCTATTTTCTGCTGCAACCTCTACTATTCCCAGCAATCAGATCTTAATACGTTCTCTGATTATTATATCATGCAGTTATTAAGTACATACTTTTAATAATAAATATGATGAGACAATTTAAATGTTTGCTGCACTACTGAAATATAGTGCAAGCATGGTATAGGCTCTTGAGCTTATTGTCCACAATGAACTCTTGAATAATCAAAATACTTAATACGAAGCCAAAAAACTGCAACAAAAGTCAATATGATACACAATTTATGATCTCTTAACCCAACAAACAGTAAATTCATTTTCCTTTTACTTTTTTGTCTTGATATTTATAGTAGGGGGCTACAAATAAGTTAATCTCTGCTTCAGATTAGTATGCCATGGAATAAAAAAAAAAAACATATAATTGCTAAAAACTTCATGTCATGATCTAACAATAATAACCAAATAAAAGGATATGGGTTTAGCCAAATCCAGATAAACCCCCCACCGTCAGTACATTTTCGTTAGTTTTAACAAATCAAGGCTAAAAGATTAAATGAACATAAATTTTATACTTATTAATCAATAATGCAGAACCCCCATTTGGGTGATATGCATTGAAGATTTGTGTGATATATTTTTTTTCATCAGAAGCTTAGATTTGATGGAGGCAAAAGAATGGATTGAGTGATGACTTACTAACAAGAACAGCCCCATATCAAGCTCTCTTGAGCAAAGACCATCCTTCTCTCCGGCCAACAAGGGAAATCTATTGAAGCCACCTACCATGGTTCACAAAATGGTTTGGCTTGAACTTTTCAAGACCTCTTTCTCTTGGTATTGAATAACTTCTGCTTTTGTGATTTTCGATGGAATAGGTTTTGAGTTTACCTCAGTTGGAAAAGATGTGTAAGAGATTTGATCGGCTTGATTTTTTTTTTTTTTTTTTTTTCAAGATCTCAAAATATAATTAAATTGAAGAGTGAATTGTGTACTGTGGAGGAATAGCCGTTGTGCAAGGGATGGTGGATGGGTTGGGTGGGATTTCTGGACAGTGAGAAGAGGGCATTAAGGTGATTTACTCCAAACATGTTAGTTTCAAACAAAAAAGTACCGACAGCAGGGGTTCTGTGTTATTACCCATACTTGAGGGGGTTTATCCGTATTTGGCCAAACCTTGAGGGGTTTAAGTAAGTATCTAATCAAATAAAATCCAGTTTCTCCATTACTTCAACGTGTTTGCTGCATTAACAAGAAACGAACTTCAATAAAATCATTCAATTTAATTCACCTGTGCAAGAACAGCAGCTGCTAACTGCAGACTTGGCTCCAAACTCTCTGGGACAACCTGCAAATTTTTTTACAAGTGAGTGCTATGGAACTCAACATGCAATGTAGAAGATAAGAAACCTATGTAATTATATTCTAAATTTAGCAGTTTATTTTAAAAATCAAAATTTTACAGTTATATATGACATCAGCTGGGAAACTTTAAAGGAATATAAAAGAAAAGAAATCTCATGAGGGGTCAGAATATTACAGCTGTGGCCCCAGCCTTTTCTAAATTGAGGCCATGATCAACATCATGAGCACGGACAAAAGTTTTGACATTTGGGAAATACTTGTTCAGGGCCCAAACAGTTCTATAATTTGCACCAGGTGTATCCAAGGTAACTGCTGCAGCACATGCTCTTTCAGCACCAACTTTATGGAGGACCTATTCACCCAGTACGAAACATGTCAGATGTTGAATCTGAAATTAAGCATCATTATCCATGATTCATTACTCTACCTCTCGACTACCAGCATCTCCGAAATACACAGGAAGGTCCAAGGCACGCCCAACAGCCACTCTATCACTGAAATAACAAAGACTTCAATAAAATACATCTTGGAATTTGCAACATCTTCATTATCAAATATTTCATACAACAGTCTCACGGAAATTTTCAACATTAAATAATCTACCCCTTTTTCTTGATGTATGATTGTTTTAAAATGTTCACACAAAATCTCTAAAGAGGCCTGAACAAAATGCTCACTCAATCACTCTTAAGTTATATTTTGGTGAAAAATGTATTGAGAACACAAAACTATGAATATACTAAGAAATTGTATAGACTTTGTGTTCTGGAACCAAACAGTTTATCATATATATAAGGTTGCATTACCGCCCACAAAACAGGAAAAAAAAAAAGGGGAAGGGGAATGGGGGTGGATATTTTACCTCCTCACATCAAGAGCCACAAATGGAATTAATCGTTCTGAAAGAAGCTGAGCTATGATCTGAGAAAAGACAGTACAACAACTGTGAACACACATGTATGACACAGTAAATCAACAACAAATTTGACATAGGGATGTTGTAAAACTTAATCCAGCTTATAACAACTGCAAATCAAGTCAATACCTGGCCAACACGTCCAAATCCACAGATAATAATATGATCTTGCAAATCATCAGTCTGGAAGTAAATCACGCCCATAGAAATATCAAAAATTATGTTTATATAATAACCATGTTAACCATACAACAACAAAAATAATAATTTAATACAATTTCCAAATAAATACACGAAGGCCACAGGTGGGTATTAAAAATGACCACAAGTTCCAAATATAATTTAATATGATTTCCAAATAAATGATAGCAAAGGAACATGATATGTTAAATAACTTGACATGGACAAAACAATTAAATCTTTTAACACAACAGGTGATAATGAACATGAAATATCACAAAAAAATAATAATCTGATAATGTGAGTGCAGAATTATCCCTGCATGCACTGTATTTGCACAAAAATGCATATTAAGATGGGAACTGCATCCATAATAGTGAGTGGAATTGGACACATTATCATACGTTATCTGAGGTAAATCTCTCTTAACGGTGAGATCATACTGATAGCTTAGTGAGGAGAGGGTAATCTGATTCTACATCAAAATAAACTAGCTGTTTGTTTACAATTTTCATATTCTTTGCCCTTCATGTCCTCCAAGAAAATTAAGTGATGACTATTTGACAAGGAACAAAACCCCATCTACAAACCATGACCGGATCAGTTATTGAACTTTATCAAAATTTCTTTCAGACGTACTGATAAAGAATTTGCAGACTATTATCATGTGAAACCAAAATGGCTCCATCCTCAATAACAAGCTTATTTAACAATCGAGCAGCACAACAGTAAAGAAATCTCTCATCAGATAGACTATTCTCCACTATTTTCTGCCTCTCCCATGAATTGCTAGAATGAAAAACAAAGATAATTTTTTTCAACTGGGGACTAGATGTCACTCAAATGGGTCATAGTTACCAAATAAGATTTTTAACTAAACTCTATAAATGATGACACTTCCAGGTAGAAACTCATCATCTCCATGTAGCTGTTATTTTCTCAAGCACAATAATCCTTACAAACTCATTAAAACTTATATTAGAGATAATCCTTACAAACTCGTTAAATTTTATATTAGAGGTGTCTTACCTCACTTTCAACAGGTAATAAACTTCGAACATCATGTTGCTCAAAACGAGAAGCAATTAATTGCCCTCCAGCAGCAAGCCATGGAGTGACGGCCATTGAGATCCCAACCACAAGAAAGAGCAGAGACGATAGCTGAGAAGACATTATACCCTATAGATAAAAAACATTAGCTTAGTAGTATCTCCACAAGCAAGTTATTTTATTATGAAAACTTCCAACAGCAGTAATTTGATATTTCTTATAAGCAGTAATGCAGAAATTAACAACCATTAATAGTTCCTTACAAAAACTATTTACTTTGAAAACACAATTTGGCCCCCCTATTTCTTTCCAAGCAACATGACAGGGCTTATCAGCATGAAATATATAATTTAGCATAAAATGTAAAATTTATCTCTTCAAAACCACATCTAACACAGGAAACTTTCAACAAACCTGATTCACAGCTTCGCCAAAAGCAACAAATGCAAACTCTCCACCAGGAGCAAGAAGAAGACCAACTCTAATTGCAGATATGATAGAAATACCGAAAAGTCTACCAACTAAAGCAACCAACATGGTCTTGCCACCTATTAAGAGTCCTAATGTCCCCATAATTACAGGAAAGTTAGAGATGAGAAGTTTTGGATCAATTGACATCCCAACCTGAAAACCCACAAAAAGATTGTAATTAGTTGCAAATATAACAGTTCTCAATAATCAAAATATAACTAGCCAAACTAGTACACCAAAAAGCAAAAAGAAAGCTCAAGTATTTTTTTCTTCTCAGTTAGTGTAGTAAAGCCTTTCTTAACTGAAGTACAAAAATAGCATAAAGATGCATACAACAAACTCGCCAAGAAGCTAAAAATTCAAAAATGGAAAAATAGCAGGCATGATTTCATATAAAGAAACCAAAGTATCTCAGATTACAGTATGCATTGAAGTAACAAGCAAGTCGACTTTCAGACTAAAAAGAACTAAAAAGAGCATTTATCTTTCTTTCAATCTTTTTCACTAAAGAAACAAAAATATACATTCTCACAGATAAATATGAAAGTCAGAGAGATACCATTGTAGGATATTTACCGTCATGAAAAAGAGACCCAATAAAAGGCCACGATAAGGAGCGATATCAGATTCAACCTGTAAAGAAAATTCAGTTTCTGCAAGGAGCAGACCCGCCAAAAATGCTCCCAAAGCCATGGAAAGCCCAGCCTGTTCTAGAAAAAGACATGAATATATATTCACTATTATAACATACACAAGAACAACAATAAATAAAATGCATTCTCATACCCTGGCTGTAAGAACGCTAGTCCCTAGAATAACAAGGAGTGTATTGGCTGAGAATATTTCCGCATTCTGGTTTTCTGCAATTTGCTTATAGATTGGCCGAAGTAGCTGCAAAACCACACAAAAAGAATATAAGTGCAAGCACACAAATAGTTCATTATGTACTGAGTGGAGGGTAATGGAAGACCTTATAATTTAAGCCTAATAGAGAAATGAACTCTCCAATCATGGTTCTCACCCAAGGAAAAAATAAAATAAAATAAAAATAAATAGATAAATAAATAAAGAGGATTCTTAAGGAGCTACTTTGCCCAAGCCATGCCTTTTTTTCAATGATGATGTTTCACCTAAATTCTAGTGGATAAATTTAATACATATCCCATTCATAACATGCAAATCTGATTCACTTTGGGCTGAATCAATGTCAGAAATAAAAGCCCATAACAAATATAACAAATTAATTAGATAACACCATGCACAGATTTTACAAAAGTTTCCACCCAAGTACTTTAGCAGATTACAGCAATTTTTTTCTCACAGTTTCTTATCAGGCCAAACTAATTGGAAAGATCAAAAAATAAAAATAAAAATAAAAAAACTGACAGGAGTGAAATTAAATTCTTAAAGCATTTGACCATCATCTTATAGCATCTCCAAAAAACTGCAAAACTTACCAAGCGTCCACCCGCAATTATGGCAGTGATGGCAACAGCTGCCTTCACAGCAGCCAATCCAAGAGCTTCAGCAATGGCTTGAAAACCAATCTGAAATAAAGTAGATTCCATTACCTATGATGCACAGATAACTGGCAGTAACAGCAATGGTAATGGCAGTACCAGAGGAATGTTAAGACTCAAACAATGACTGATCATCATGATTCTTGACATACACACTTCACAAGAATGACATTACTTGCATTGTGCTGTCAATGATTCTTAGTGCAAGAAAGAAAGAGTGATCTGGCAGTTCAGGATTGACCTACAAGCATGAATGCTCCTAGGAAAGAAAAAGGCATTAAAAGGTTGCATCACGATATCTCATTTACATCTAAAATTGTAGCCTGCCCAATTTAGTCCTCAATGAGAGCTGGAGACACAGAAAGATGCCAACATTAATGACCGAAAGTGAATTCATACAGCAAAATTGTACTATTCAGTTGTTGTTAAAGACAGCAACATGTGCATCTGGATCCACAGTTTTCAGAGCTAACGTATCAGAATTATCTTATCCATACTCTTTTTTATTCATGATTCATGAAAGCTATAACTTACAATATGAATCTTAAACTAAACTACTCATTAGATCAATTTCTCAAAAAAGTTCCAGTGGAACCACTACAGACGGGCACTCATAAAACAATAGGAAAAGCAGCCATTTTTGGGGCATGAGATGCCATTTTAGGGAAGATGGTAGGTGTCAGCTGCAAGGAAAAAGATTCACCAGAGCTTAAAACCATCAGATGAAACTGACACGTAAGACGTCTTTTGGGTTATAAAACTATAGATGTTGCTGATCAGCAACCTATATCCTGAAATACCTTAATGACATGATTTAGGTGTAAGCACAAGCAGAGAATAAGCGATCACAACATTTACATACAACATACTACAGAACAAAGATGGAAGGAAAAGTAGATTATTAGAAATTCTTACCCCTCCTTTGGATGAATTTGGTGAAATAAGAGGAATAAGTATTAGGAGAACAACAACAGCCAAATCCTGGACAATACAGAATGAGCAACAGACAGTTTAGTTAACAGATCTGCAACTCAAAGTCAATTTACTTATTTTTCAAGAAATAGCTCAAAATAATAACAATGAAGATAGTTTACAAATCATTATAATAGTCTACCAATTAAAAATAACAGCAATAATAAATTATAAAAAGACAAAATCATATGGATAAACAATCAACTACACAGACAATCAAATCTAAGCATGCTTTATTAAGGTGCAAATAGTACAATAATACACTTCAGAGGTGAAAAGGTTCAAGTGTTCAAATATGTAAATATCCATAGTTGATTACCATATATTATGCAGCAGTAGATTATAAATATCATCCTCGATTACAGTGAGGATACATATGCCAGAAAGGCATGGCAAAAATCACTAAAGCAAGGATACATATCAGTATGTATCAAGAAGTTCAGTAGGGTATTATTAACTGCAGAAAGAACCACAATCCTTTAGGCATAACATTAACTACTAACATCAAACTACTTTTCAGAACCAAAAGATATTATTCTGAAATTGTAGAGTAACCTGGAAAAGTAAGACTGAAAATGTAGCACGTCCATGTCGTGAAGTGCTCTCACCTCGCTCCTGTAACACCTGCAAAATAAGTCCATGAAAGTAAATCCAAATGTTTGACAAATGTCAACTAGCAGGCATTTGTATTTCTTAAATGATAGGACCAGCAGTTATTATGAGAACAAATTCTTGTTGACAAGGAAAGTCTGATCAGTCATAAGCCAAGAACTTAATGATATTTCTATTTGCTTTCAATTGTGGAACAAATTAGGATATACAAAACAAGGTATGTGATATCGCAATACAACAAATTTCTTATATTTAAAATACTTCAGTATTTTTCCTTCTCCGGTAAAATGGGTGGGTCAAAGTATAAGAGGTTATTATGTCATGAAATTTGGAGAAAAAGCCATTTGTAACTCATACCTGCAGGACAACAGCAGTGGAAGACAAAGCCAGTCCATTCCCAATAACAATTGCAGCAGGACCGGCTTGCCCAGAAACAAAATGAGTAACCAAGCCAACCACAACTGCAGTCACCAAGACCTGCAATATCACATTAAGAATCCAAGGTAAAAAACTAGCATCAAAAGCACCTCAAAAGAATGATCTACAGCCAAAAAGAAGTTATGATTATAAAATGGAACTATCTCAATTACCTGAGCAGAGCCTAATCCAAAAACATATTTCTTCATGGAACTTAGCCTTTCAACAGAAAGCTGTCGGCAAAAAGTTAAGCTTCAGAGTTAGCTTTCTGGATCCAATGTATACATAGAAAAGTGGACCTAAAGAAAGAAAAATCCACCTCAAGGCCAATATTGAATAGTAAGAAAACAACTCCAAATTCAGCAATAGCCTTTGTCCCATGTACATGACGGATTATAGAGAGACCATAAGGCCCAATCAATATGCCAGCAGCCAAGTAACCAAGAACAGGACTGCCTAAACATAGAAAAAAAATACTACAAAAATTAATGATGTATAAGACTTGGACAGGATTTAAGACAAAAACCCACTGTTTTATAGCCAGATGAAGATAAGGAGCAATACTACTTCAGGGCTAAATTTGAGAAAGAAAATTGAATAGGGTAGAAGAAATAAAAGTCTAGAACTACAAAGTATAATAAAATGTAGAAATTCAATTACCTCCCGGAATTTTCTGAAATATAGGCACAAATATTACACTTGCAAGCAACAACCACAACATGTCAAACAGGGAAGCTTCCTCCTCATTTATCTAAGAAAACACAAAATCATATCCTTAGAAAAAGACTACAGTGTTGTACTTAAGAATCAACCATAACTAACAAATGGTAGATAAGACAGCATGCCTCCTGCTGAGGTAGCATAGCAAGCAGTTTTCTAATCCTCAGAGGAAGTTTCTGCATTTGTCGAATAAGAGGTTTTGTATTTGATGAAACTTCTTCAATGCTTGTTGTGATAACATCAGGCTGCTGAAGCTGCAGAGTATTCCTCTCCACCCAATTAGAATAGAAGGCAACTCTGTGATCAATCCAGCATATTTTGATCAAAGGTAGGCAACCTTACACTAAATGTGACAATCTAATGACAGAAGCAAATGATAGAACATAAAATAAATAGAAGCGCCGTTCAGAAAACTAAAGAAAAGAAAGGCCAGGTATATAATGATGTCTGTGGTATTTTGTGCACTACCAAAAATTTAATACATATCCCATTCATAACATGCAAATCTGATTCACTTTGGGCTGAATCAATGTCAGAAATAAAAGCCCATAACAAATATAAAAAATTAATTAGATAACACCATGCACAGATTTTACAAAAGTTTCCACCCAAGTACTTTAGCAGATTACAGCAATTTTTTTCTCACAGTTTCTTATCAGGCCAAACTAATTGGAAAGATCAAAAAATAAAAATAAAAATAAAAAAACTGACAGGAGTGAAATTAAATTCTTAAAGCATTTGACCATCATCTTATAGCATCTCCAAAAAACTGCAAAACTTACCAAGCGTCCACCCGCAATTATGGCAGTGATGGCAACAGCTGCCTTCACAGCAGCCAATCCAAGAGCTTCAGCAATGGCTTGAAAACCAATCTGAAATAAAGTAGATCCCATTACCTATGATGCACAGATAACTGGCAGTAACAGCAATGGCAATGGCAGTACCAGAGGAATGTTAAGACTCAAACAATGACTGATCATCATGATTCTTGACATACACACTTCACAAGAATGACATTACTTGCATTGTGCTGTCAATGATTCTTAGTGCAAGAAAGAAAGAGTGATCTGGCAGTTCAGGATTGACCTACAAGCATGAATGCTCCTAGGAAAGAAAAAGGCATTAAAAGGTTGCATCACGATATCTCATTTACATCTAAAATTGTAGCCTGCCCAATTTAGTCCTCAATGAGAGCTGGAGACACAGAAAGATGCCAACATTAATGACCGAAAGTGAATTCATACAGCAAAATTGTACTATTCAGTTGTTGTTAAAGACAGCAACATGTGCATCTGGATCCACAGTTTTCAGAGCTAACGTATCAGAATTATCTTATCCATACTCTTTTTTATTCATGATTCATGAAAGCTATAACTTACAATATGAATCTTAAACTAAACTACTCATTAGATCAATTTCTCAAAAAAGTTCCAGTGGAACCACTACAGACGGGCACTCATAAAACAATAGGAAAAGCAGCCATTTTTGGGGCATGAGATGCCATTTTAGGGAAGATGGTAGGTGTCAGCCGCAAGGAAAAAGATTCACCAGAGCTTAAAACCATCAGATGAAACTGACACGTAAGATGTCTTTTGGGTTATAAAACTATAGATGTTGCTGATCAGCAACCTATAACCTGAAATACCTTAATGACATGATTTAGGTGTAAGCACAAGCAGAGAATAAGCGATCACAACATTTACATACAACATACTACAGAACAAAGATGGAAGGAAAAGTAGATTATTAGAAATTCTTACCCCTCCTTTGGATGAATTTGGTGAAATAAGAGGAATAAGTATTAGGAGAACAACAACAGCCAAATCCTGGACAATACAGAATGAGCAACAGACAGTTTAGTTAACAGATCTGCAACTCAAAGTCAATTTACTTATTTTTCAAGAAATAGCTCAAAATAATAACAATGAAGATAGTTTACAAATCATTATAATAGTCTACCAATTAAAAATAACAGCAATAATAAATTATAAAAAGACAAAATCATATGGATAAACAATCAACTACACATACAATCAAATCTAAGCATGCTTTATTAAGGTGCAAATAGTACAATAATACACTTCAGAGGTGAAAAGGTTCAAGTGTTCAAATATGTAAATATCCATAGTTGATTACCATATATGATGCAGCAGTAGATTATAAATATCATCCTCGATTACAGTGAGGATACATATGCCAGAAAGGCATGGCAAAAATCACTAAAGCAAGGATACATATCAGTATGTATCAAGAAGTTCAGTAGGGTATTATTAACTGCAGAAAGAACCACAATCCTTTAGGCATAACATTAACTACTAACATCAAACTACTTTTCAGAACCAAAAGATATTATTCTGAAATTGTAGAGTAACCTGGAAAAGTAAGACAGAAAATGTAGCACGTCCATGTCGTGAAGTGCTCTCACCTCGCTCCTGTAACACCTGCAAAATAAGTCCATGAAAGTAAATCCAAATGTTTGACAAATGTCAACTAGCAGGCATTTGTATTTCTTAAATGATAGGACTAGCAGTTATTATGAGAACAAATTCTTCTTGACAAGGAAAGTCTAATCAGTCGTAAGCCAAGAACTTAATGATATTTCTATTTGCTTTCAATTGTGGAACAAATTAGGATATACAAAACAAGGTATGTGATATCGCAATACAACAAATTTCTTATATTTAAAATACTTCAGTATTTTTCCTTCTCCGGTAAAATGGGTGGGTCAAAGTATAAGAGGTTATTATGTCATGAAATTTGGAGAAAAAGCCATTTGTAACTCATACCTGCAGGACAACAGCAGTGGAAGACAAAGCCAGTCCATTCCCAATAACAATTGCAGCAGGACCGGCTTGCCCAGAAACAAAATGAGTAACCAAGCCAACCACAACTGCAGTCACCAAGACCTGCAATATCACATTAAGAATCCAAGGTAAAAAACTAGCATCAAAAGCACCTCAAAAGAATGATCTACAGCCAAAAAGAAGTTATGATTATAAAATGGAACTATCTCAATTACCTGAGCAGAGCCTAATCCAAAAACATATTTCTTCATGGAACTTAGCCTTTCAACAGAAAGCTGTCAGCAAAAAGTAAAGCTTCAGATTTAGCTTTCTGGATCCAATGCATACATAGAAAAGTGGACCTAAAGAAAGAAAAATCCACCTCAAGGCCAATATTGAATAGTAAGAAAACAACTCCAAATTCAGCAATAGCCTTTGTCCCATGTACATGACGGATTATAGAGAGACCATAAGGCCCAATCAATATGCCAGCAGCCAAGTAACCAAGAACAGGACTGCCTAAACATAGAAAAAAAATACTACAAAAATTAATGATGTATAAGACTTGGACAGGATTTAAGACAAAAACCCACTGTTTTATAGCCAGATGAAGATAAGGAGCAATACTACTTCAGGGCTAAATTTGAGAAAGAAAATTGAATAGGGTAGAAGAAATAAAAGTCTAGAACTACAAAGTATAATAAAATGTAGAAATTCAATTACCTCCCGGAATTTTCTGAAATATAGGCACAAATATTACACTTGCAAGCAACAGCCACAACATGTCAAACAGGGAAGCTTCCTCCTCATTTATCTAAGAAAACACAAAATCATATCCTTAGAAAAAGACTACAGTGTTGTACTTAAGAATCAACCATAACTAACAAATGGTAGATAAGACAGCATGCCTCCTGCTGAGGTAGCATAGCAAGCAGTTTTCTAATCCTCAGAGGAAGTTTCTGCATTTGTCGAATAAGAGGTTTTGTATTTGATGAAACTTCTTCAATGCTTGTTGTGATAACATCAGGCTGCTGAAGCTGCAGAGTATTCCTCTCCACCCAATTAGCATAGAAGGCAACTCTGTGATCAATCCAGCATATTTTGATCAAAGGTAGGCAACCTTACACTAAATGTGAAAATCTAATGACAGAAGCAAATGATAGAACATAAAATAAATAGAAGTGCCGTTCAGAAAACTAAAGAAAAGAAAGGCCAGGTATATAATGATGTCTGTGGTATTTTGTGCACTACCAGAAACAGAACATTTTCTAGGACTGAGATGGTTTAGGAAATTTATACTAACTTCTGTGCCCTGTTGTCAAGCATCTCTAAATCTAGAAACAACTTTTACCTATGCTCAAAGTGTAACAGCCCAAAAAAAGAAGCACATTTTTTATCCAAGTTCTAAGGAAAATAAAATGACTGGTAACAGTTCATGAAGCACAAACATTAAGCTTACAATATACAATGAAACAAAAAAGTTCAACAGTAGTACGTACCCAGCTCCAATGAGCAAAAACCCAAGAACCAGTTTAGGCAACTGCTTTCTTGCGGATTCCATAAGACCCTGGAAAACTGAAGCTGGTGTGAATTCAGTCCCATCTACAGCAAAAGAGAAGAATGATGCAGAAAAGAAACGAGAAGATTTTTTCTGCAATGCCTTTGGAGCATTAAGGGGTGAACTCTCTTTAGTCAAATCCTTCTGTGACTCCTGCTTTTTAGCTTGCATAACATTCTTTGACTTTTCTGTTTCCACTTCAGCTTCTGTAGGAGAGTCGAAACCTAGCTTTCCATTCTCATCACTCATTTCATCAGATTGATACTCCGAAATCTGGCTGGTTGCATCCGACAGAATGTCAGGTAAAGATTCACTGACTAGATAGTCACCATTAATTGGCAAATCTATTTCTCTTTCAATGCTAACATCGTCCGTTTTAACCACCTTCTCCTCCTCAACAGTGGCCTCATCACCTGAGACATACCCTTTATTCCTTCCAGAGATATCAACATGAGAAATGGAGACTGACTTCTCTGCTCTCTGTAATGCAATCTCTGCATCATTCACACGTTTAGCGGCCTCGAGTTCAAAAGCAACAGCTTGCTCAGCTAATAGCATTATGTTCGCAACTTCTTCTTCAGCTTTCAAGGCATTCATCTCGGCCTTCTCTGCAGCCTCATTCAATCGATCCACTTCCTTCTGCAGCTCTTCTTTCTTACTCTGCAGTCGTCTCAACTCTGCCTCACAATTTGCCAAATTTGCTTGACAGTCCCTGATTTCTGTTTCAGCAGCCAACAACACTCCATCTTCTTCTCTATCACCACTTTCAGTATCATTCACTCCAGAACCATCTGGAGAATCATCCTCTTCTTTTGCAACTTGTAATGATTCTATTGCCACTTTAAGTCTAGCCTCAGCCAAAGAAAGAGCCATGGTTGCTTTCTGAACAGTTTCTTTAGCAATGCACTCCTCATTCACGATTTCTTGAACCATATCAAGGGTAGCATTAACATCGTTCCATGCATTTGATGCTTCATCCTTCAAAGCTATTGCAGTTTCTGATATTCTCTGAGCCTTCTCCTCAAACAGGGTACTATTAACCCGTGCAACCTCCAATTCTTTCATTGCCTTCACTAACAATTCTTTCAATTCATCCAAAGTAGGTGCTTCTGCATCTTCTTTGACTTCTCTTTCATCACCACCCAAACCATTTGAATCCGCACCATCAGCAGATTCCACCCTTGAGCTCTCGTCAATACTTTCAAATTCTACATTTCGACCATTTCCATCAATATATGCTAAAGAATCATTATCTTGACACCGTAAGATAACTCCCCTTGGCACCTTAAAAACATCATCCAAGCTTCTAAATAATGATTTATTTGAATATGAAACCCATAAATTAGTCTCAAATTTACCTCTAGAAACCAAACTTGAATCCAAACAACCAACATTAGAAATACTTCTCCTTATATTTCTGGTGGACCGGGATTTTGAAACAATCCTCGGATTGAAAAAATTACAACCAAAACCTTGGTATCTAAACCTTGAATTTATTAATCGATCCGGAATTCCATAACTAGCACCTTCGCCAATAAGAAGCACATTTGACCGCTTAATACTACATGCAAAATCCATTTCTCTACAACAATCAATTCAGTTCAATGTCTACAGAAAGAGTGTACAAGTATTTCAAATACTCTTATTTGCATTTTGTCAAACACCTGGTGAAAAAAAAAAATATTACACGAGAACAAGAAAACCGATATGTTTATTTGATTTAACCGAATCTTCTTAAGTTAAAAACAAAAAAATTTGACCTCAAGTAACCCTAAAAAAAAAAAAAAGGAATCTCCGCATACAGAAGCAAATAAATATATACATCAAAATATATTTTGAAAAAAAAAAATATATTAGTCATAAAGAACATGAAGTATACAGAAAGAAAGTGAAGTTACCGATCATGAAGATTGGAGCTGATAAAATCAATGGCGAGTTTAAGGCAGAAAATGACAGAACTGGTAACAGATTAACAACGTGGCACTTTTAATTTTGCCCTTCGAGGGAGCTAATAGAGCGTCTCTCTCTCTCTCTCTCTCTCTCTCCCTCTCCTGCTTTCATTTCTTTGCGTGCACAGTGAGAAAAAGAAAAATATTTATTAAAATCAATTACGAGAAATGGCCTTTGCGTACGTGAGATTCATTATTGTGCGGATATTCCATTGGCTGAATGGATATCTCCACTCGCACTTCCAGCATGTGCGAAATAAACTTCAATCACGTTGGAATCAGGTGGGTCCTATTCCTGTTGGCACCAAATCATGTTAACGTCGTCCAGAAGGTTTCTTAAAGCGCGTGAATAAAATAACCTTCTCCTGCATTAAATTAAAATTAGATGTGCATTAGTGCAAAGATACTTAAAAAAAAATGTGAATGTAGTCGTTAAAAACTGTTGGCAGTTGGCTTATTCGAGAGGAGTACTGTAGGACTAAAATTATACAGCTGGCACGTTCAAAAATCAATTATTTTACGTTGATAAGATGGGAAAATCAGTTGTTTGGTTTAGAATTTTTAAAAAGAAAATAATAAAAAATTATTTGAAAATCACAAAACCTTTTCAAAAGAGTTTATAAAAATAAAATTAAAACAATATAATTATATACAAATTTTTTAAAAACAAGGTAAAAAAAGTCAATGAGTAATACAGTCAATAATTTAATTGAGAATTACTAACAAAAAAAAAAAAAAAAAAAAAAAAAAGGAGAAATGATTTTACCTCAAAGATGCGCTGACCCAACCGTGCTTATGGTGAATAGGTTAACAATCGTTAGGCCAAGAGTTGCTCTTAAAAAACCTTCACGGATTTTAAACTAAGAATAGGATGAGAGATAATATCAAAAGGAGAAAATACATCATGTGAAAAGATATTTTTAAGGGAAAATAATCAAAATATCCAGAAATGTACATGTCATGCCAAAAACAAAAAGCATGGTTTATTTATTTTTGTTTGCCTCATTATTTGGGCATAGGAACCATAAATATGTGAGGGTATCATATTAACAAAAATCAAGGGAACTACTACTCAGCCATCTTCAAAGTAAGTAAACACGAGTTACCAATTTCATTAACACGGCAGTTCAGTGTGTCACTGGACTAGCACACAGTGTTTGACTCAAAAGGTACCTTCATGCCACACAAACTGAGACTGATAGGCTGATACCCCCCTTAAAATGGAACATCTCCAGTTCTTCTCCTCCATCTCCACTTACAAATCATCCATTTATTTTCGGCTGCTGTTTTGCTCAATGGATTAAAAAATGCATGTTTACTTTATGAATTCATTAAATATTCCCCTGAAGAAATAATTGGAACAGAGAATATAAAAATGAAATTAGGGCTCTAATATACCAAACCTCTATTGGAATGTCCAAGTCAGCAACATAACAAGTATAGAATTTATGTATCCTTCAGAATTACTTGCAATCTATCACAACAATTTGATAAATTCCATGCACCAATGAATCCTCTCGACACATTGTGTTTGAACCCCACATGCAGTTAGCACCAAAAAGAATTCAAAAAACCAATTCTGACCCAATTACATATTTACGAGCTATAACACTTCTTTTAATCTTTATTTACAATCTGTTTAATTTAAGAGTTATTTATGTGACAGAAGGATCTTATGTTGTTCTTTCTCCCTCCAAAAAATAATGTCAAGCTCTAGATAAAGAAAAATACGTACACAACCCATCAGGAAAATAGACATCAACTTAAAGCATTAAGGTAAATTGTAAAGCTGCCAATTAGAAAACGAAATGTTTCTTCCTTTCCGTCCAAAGTTTATTCACCTGGAAATAGAAGTAATTTAATAATGTGCCCACATTTCAACCTTTGCTAATGTCTTTACATACATGCCAAGACATTTAACTACAAGCAAGAGGAAACGATTATTGAATGATTTTATTGGTTGTTTATACTGTAATTGCAATGTTAGTGAAAAAAAGAAGACATTTACTGAGTTCTATATTGCATCATTGTTGATCACATTACTCACGGATGACTAGTAACTCAGAAAGAAAAGAATAGCTAACATTTTTCTTATTGGAATCAATTAACCAAAGTTAAAAATAAAACCATCTATATTATAATAACGCCTAGTAATTACATATCCAAAACACAAGTTTGGACTGCATATTGTTTACCGTCTAAACTCTAGTATTTTTCACTTACATGGAGCAGACAGGCCTAGTGCTAAAGGTCTCATACTTGTGTTTTAAGGACAATCTACTTATCTTAGTGAAGGAAACTTCATTTGCCTGTTCGTTATAGTAATGAAAACTAAGATTTTAGTCAAGTTTTAACACATAGTTATGATAAAAGAGTCCACGTTTTATAATTATCAAATCATGATACACAATGATTACATGTCATAGTTCCAATGTTTTAACCTTAATTTCTTTAGGATAAATAGAGAGAAACAATAAGACGTTTTATTAGTTGATTGCGTTCAAATCTACATCAAGCAATTCAATAGGATGACATTATAACTTTCAAATTAGAAAATATAAAACTAATAGTACCTGTCCTGCCAGAGCAGAAGAATGTAAGAAAAAGGTTTCTAAACTCCGATGAACCTAACCCAAATTCCTCCTCCTATTCAAACTGCAATTCGCATTCATATCTTTAATGTTGTCATACATGCTCAACAATAACATCCGTCAATGCTAGAGCAGTGGAGGAAATTCAGCCGGTTCTTGCAATGTGATTTACCACTAATTAAACCATCCTGACATACGTTAAAATAGGTACCACCCAAGGCAATTACTCAAAGCTCAAAGCTCAATTTTATATGAGTGGATCAATAAATCATACATGTATATAAACAAAAGATGAATATTCTCAGTGCACAGAGTTTTGTCAATATTCTGGAGAGATAATCCTAATACATCAGTTGCTACGTCACATGCTGTCATTATTACAACAAAAAAGAAATTATTGATATCAGCAAAAGAACGTAAAGTACATAAATAACTAAAAGAAACATTAAAAATTATAAGATATATTGGGAGACATATTTCTTTGGATTGTAAAACTGGTGAGCCTAGAAACGCCAAGAACCAGCGAGGAATACTTCATAATTCCAAATAATTAATAATTAATCAGTCGTCATCTATATTCAAGTAAAAGTGTAAAAATACCTGAACTAGAGAAAGAAAAACCATTTAATCGGGTTTTAAGACACATGAACAAACAGAATTTAACCTGGAGAAAAGAAAGCGACCAATCAAGAAAATATTATTTGACATGTCTAAGAAGTAATCCTAGGAAATTTAAAGCCATGATGTAAGAATTAAGTAAAGTAGGGTTACCACAACCTAAATAGAGTTTCCTTCAATATAATTCAAAGTGTAAAAAACCACCTTTTTAACGGGAAAAGAAAATGACGACAAGAAAATGTTCCTTTACATGTCTAAGAAGTAACGGTAGGAATTGAAGCGGGTGATCTAAGAAATGACAATAAGTAGGGTATCATCAACGTAAAAACAGAGTTTACTTAAATATAATTCAAATGTGTAAAAAACCACTCTTCCCCTCGAATCTTGGAAATTATAAGTGGAACAGTAGTAAACTGAAATTTTAATAATTTCAAAGAGGTAAAGCTGTGCAAAATTTCATGAAACAGAATTCTGAAAAACCCTAATATCAAGATAGAAAACTGAAATTGCGAAGTGCAATTACTATAAAACAATTTCATCTGACATATTGAAAGGTCCTTAAATTAACCAAAAGTTCTTGAAATAAAGACAAAAAGGGAAAATTCCAAAACTAAATTAGAAATACCGCACCTATGACACCCACCAAAATCTTGGTTTTTCTCCTCCAAGCTGAGTAGCCAGATCGATAGACTAAGGAGAGAATGTTTCTGCAAGTGCCGGTGCAAACACTTACAATTTGGAAGGTTTCTTGATCTTTAAATAGATATAATTTGCAGCGTGAAAATATGCCTTCAAATTTGGCGCGCTTTCTTTATAACGGTAAGGCTACCTTATGATTGACTTTGATTTTTTACGTTGGAAATTAATTAAACTAGTTAATTACTATCCTCAAATTTAAAGCAGTTAATGTCACTTTTGCCTCGGCTATGTTTTGGGTGACAAAATATGCCCAAAAAAAAATTAAGACTGTAATACCCTTTAAAAATTTAGTCACCGTGTATGGGTTTAATATAAAAAATGATAAAAATATCATTAAAATAATGATTAAAAGTATGTAATTAATATAACATAAAAATGTGTTATTACATGTTTAAATACACAGATAACAAATAATGTAATTAATATAAAATATGTGCAAATACATAAAATAAAATAAATATAATTGATCTTAAATTTATGATATGATAACTGATTAATTCTATTAAGTAAAGCAACAATAAAGCTAGGGACACCGAAATTGTATACCGGCTACGTGTACCACGCGTGATTTTTTTTTTAATTTTTTCTAATGAACGGTCGTCCAAAAAATTTGGACGGCCGTTCACTCACATGGACAACCGTCCATATTATATGGAGGGAGTCCATATACCAGAGACGGGCGTCCCCATTTAAAGGACGTTCGTCCATAAATAAAATATAATAAAAAATTTACAAAACATTAGGGGCGGCCGTCCATCCATTTGGACGGCCGTCCATTACTTTTGGATGGGCGTCCACAAAATAATGGATGCCCGTCCTTGACCCAAATATGAAAAACAAAAAACTTTGGGGAGGCCGTCCATAAATTATGGACGACCGTCCCTTACGTTGGACGCCCGTCCCTTACATTTGGACGGGCGTCCATACTTGCTATTCAACCATTTTTGAAGATACCGCTCCAAATCTTCTTGACTCATCTTCTCCAGCTGTCGCTCCAACTCTTCTGCACTCATCTGCTTCTTACTTCTAAAAGATTCTTCATCCTCCCTTTCAAGCATGATGTGGAAAGATTTTAGAATCCTTCGAAGAATATCTTCAGTTTTGTAATCTGGAGAGACTGAAACCCAAGCTCGATCTTGAAACTTATTTTTAGCTGTGATCTGTAGTGACCACTGACCAGAGGACGAATATATGATTTTGTAATCTGTAGTAGATGACCATGTTGTTACCTAAACCACCCATACCAAAAATAGAAATCACACCTCTCTGCGGCCCCCGCCAAGAAGTTTAGCCAACAATTTCTCAGCATCATCCTCACAGCCAACAACATGGTCATCTACTACAAAGGAGGTGGCTCTTCTCAGTTCGTTCAATCTGTAAAAAGCATGATCCTTTCTTTCATCCTTGTTACCAATATCCTCAAGGCAGTACTGTTTGCTTTGCCGAGAAATATCACGAAGTTTCTGTCTGATATCTTCGATCTTCTTGCCTATGTTACGTAGATGGGGAATGAAGACGAAGAAAAAGAGAGGAGGTGGGGAATGAAGACGAAGAAGAATGGGTTTTTGTTTAGAATTTTTTTTTTTTTATTAAAAGTATGGACGGCCGTCCATTCTTAATGGATGCCCGTCCAAAATTTTTGGACTGCCGTCCCTAAAGTTTTTGTTTTGTTTTTTTTTTTCATATTTGGATCAAGGACGGGCGTCCACCATTGGTGGACGCCCGTCCAAAAGTAATGGACGGCCGTCCATAATGGATGGACGACCGTCCCTAATGTTTTACAAATTTTTTTATTATATTTTATTTATGGACGAGCATCCTTTAAATGGGGACGCACATCCCTGGTATATGGACCCCGTCCATATAATATGGACGGGCGTCCATGTGAGTGAACGGCTATCCAAATTTTTTGGACGACCGTTCACTAGAAAAAAATTAAAAAAAAATTCACGCGGCTGGTACACGTAGGCTGGTACACAATTTCAGTGCAGGTTTTTTGGTGTCCCTAGCTTTATTGGTAAAGCAATAAATGCCACCTCAACTAACCGTCAACTGAGATCATAAAGAAGCAGTAACGCATGATTGCATTTGTAGTCGATCATTGATCCTAGAACCAAAGATTTTCCTGAATTTGTTCAAGTAAAATGAAAAGCTATGCCGTTATTGCTTTGTATATATCATTGATCCGTTAATAAGAAGCTACGCCGTTATTGCTCTTCCTAAACCCAAAGGGGGCGTTTGGTTGAGGAATGTTAGATTACTGGGAATATTGGATTACTGGAAAAATAGATTACTTTGGAAGATTACTGGGAATCTTTAGAAAAATATGTTTAGTTAGTTGGTGGGTATGTTATATTAATATGTTTGGTTATGGGGAATAAATTGGTGGGTATGTTATTTAAATTACTAAATTGTCCCCCTTTTAAATATTAATATAAAATTATTTTTATTATTAATTTTTGAATAATTTCTTTTAACCCCCAATATTTCAGATTTAGCTAAAACACCCCCGCTTATATAAAACTTTAGTTTATGACGAAATCACCCCCACCTCCTATCGCCACCGCAAACCACCGCCGGATGTCCCCGAAAGTCCTTGTGAGTACGTCACCGTGACCAAGAGGCTCCGCTATGGCCGTTTCTGGCCATATTGATGGCCGAAAACGGCCATACCGGGCCAGATCTCTGGCCATTATCGGCCAGGTCTGGACCAGATCTAGCCGTTAACGGCCAGATCTATTCCGGCCAGATCTGGCCCAGACCTGGCCGTTAATGGCCAGGGATCTGGCTGTTAATGGCCAGGTTAACGGCCAGTTCCATCGATCTAGCCGGAAATAGCCGGAATAGATCTAACCATTTCAATCGATTTGGCCTGATATGGCCGTTTTTGGCCATCAATATGGCCGGAAACGGCCATATCGAAGCCTCCCGGAGCCTCCCATAGAATTTCCTTCTTTTCTAGGGACTCCAGCGACTTTCCGGTGGTGGTCCGTGGTGGTTGGCCCGCTGTTGTCGGTGGTGGCAGTGGTGGTCTGTAAATTATTTTAAATATAAAGGCATTATTGTCCAAATTTTTAATTAAATAAGGGTAAAATTGAAATAGGATATTAATGTAAATTTGTTTTAAAATAGGGGTATTATTGTCCAAAATTTTTATTAATAAGGGATAAAAGTGTAACAAAAAAAGATAACTCTAGTAATCTCAGAAAACCTAAGAAAATGGAGGTAATTAGATTATCTCTGATATTACCAATAGTAACCACTATTGGTATTTGAAGATTACCGGTATCTTATATTACTTGACAACCAAACATGGTAATCAAGTAATATAAGATGACATTACCCCAGTAATCCCACTTAACCCCCAACCAAACGCCCCCAAAGAGTAAAGCATTCCAATTTTAGGGCTTAGCTTAGGCCCCTTCCTAAGAAAATGCCATGCCCTTACAATGCCGAATCCAAGACCTGGTTCACGCTTGAAAGCCAGAGCTAGTATTCTTCCCACTGACCGCTACTAATAAGATAAGATGAACGAATCGATCAACTAGTGTAACGAATCTCACATCGAAAGCGTATTGGAGAGGTCATGAGCTTATAAATGGGGAGAGTCCCTCCATCTACTAGGTTAGCCCTTTCGGTGTAAAACTCTCAGCCTGTGACAAGTGTTATCAAAGCAGACCCGATCCGTCTTTCGATGTCCCGCCAAGCGCCCACGCAGGGGCGTCCTCGTGTGATTATGGACCCACACGAGAGTGAGGTAAACAGGTAGGCAGGAGAGCCCACCTATGACGAGAGCATCATAAGATTAGGTAGGGGAGAATGTAACAAATCTCAAATCAGAAGTGTATAGAAGAGGTCTTGAGCTTTAAATGGGAAAAATCTCTCTACCTAATAGGTTAGCCTTTTGGGTATGAAACTCTCAGCCCGTGACACTAGGCATCTTCTAGAATTGATTGATTAGGAAAGCTAGTTCCAAGCAAGGATTTCTGTAGGACGATACATCTATAATTAACTTCATAAAAGCTTAATTCGGATAAACATAGTACATGTGGGAAGTAGTTGACGGTTGCCAGAGTATCTATAACATGCAATAAGATATACAGTTTCAAATTCAGAATTTCTTCAATTCAAACAAAATTACATTTACATCAATGTCTTTTCAGAGAGATCAATTCGCGCTTCAAAATGGTCTATCCCAGTTTTACTTTGCTGTCTCGTGCTCCGAAGAACTGAGACCAGCAAGGTAAATTCAACAAGAAAATTTGAACTTGAATCGTCTCTTAGTGCGAGTGAAGGAAGCAAAAGAAAATGTAAATTGCTGGGACATTGTGCCATCATTTTTCATAATCTGGTATCTAACAAGGTAGACGTCTCCCTAATTTTTATAAATACAAATTTGACAATAAATAGTACAAGTTATACTCAATAGATGGTAAGAACCGATGGTGAAAAGAAATTAATTTTAGATTGAGATTTTATAGATTGAGATTCGTGGCTCTTGAGTGATAGGATGCATAAATTTCTCATGGAAATAAAATCATATCGTTGCATTGCATACAGTAATAGTAGATTTATTTCGATCTGGTAAATTCTACTACAAATGTATACATTTCAATTTGACTAGATATTCTTCTTGCCTAGTTTGCGGCCAGGTCTATGTCAGCTCAGCTTCAATGTGACAGATTCACTCGCAACAAAACTGAGTAACTTTTACCCAAAATGCAAAATTACCCAAGCGTACCAAATCCAGATGAAGTCATTAAGCATAAATGAAATGAAACGAAATTTTTTTCCTATTCCAAGAATGGAAATTCATAAGAAACATCAATTGCAATGACAAATTAAGAGATCTTATAGCATTATGACTTGAAAGATAATAATACCTTGGGCCTTTCCATAGAGCTTCCAAAATATCCCAATCCAAAAGACAAGGAAGAATAAGCAGCCGCTATCTCTATTGAGTTCAGCTTTGGTGGATTTCCTGAAACCTACAGCTGAAATATAAGTAAAAATAATCAAACAAACTAACAGTAAAAGAAACAGCCAGGGGCTCACCATCACAGGAGCATCAGCTTGCACGAGCAAAATCCCTGCACTCTTATCAGTACCGTTTTGACTGCTATCTTCAACAATAGGGCGTAAAACTTTCATGCAAGCAGATGCAGGACCAACCTGAGAACTAAAGCACGAATATAGCTTGTCAATTTTATCACTGCAAAATATTGAAAACAGGCAAAAATGGGCAGATTTTAAAGTTCTTCGGTAGCCAAAAAAGCTATCCAGCAATATCTTGTACATGGCTTCTAACAAAAGGCCAGTTTAGCCTAGTCTACATTAATTAGGAAGCCAGCCACATTGAATCAACTTCCATACATTTCCAGTTCATGATCCTTGTCAAACTTTGATCTGCGTTTAGATGCACATGTCCAAGTTTCAAAAAAAATTAATGAGATTAAAGCACCCTGGTTTCAGTATTCACAGTTAACAACATGATTTTCAAGCTTTTGGTGTTTATATAACACAAACTACATATGAAAAGATGCCAGTGACAACCTCATTTCCGTATGTATACTTTTTTCAATAATCCTTTACTTTATTTAGAAGTAATGTATTTCTCTTAATTTATTTAGTTGACAATTCGGCGATTTAACATAGCAGCAAAACCTCAACTCTCTAGAAAAGGGGTTGACTAAAAGACATAAATCTGTGTAAAAGTTCAACAACATTTGTTTTCTAACCAACTTGTTCCATAGAGAAAGAGGTTTACAAAAGTGACTGCAGCCAAAATACAATGAAGTCTAACAAATCATCAGCAAGTACTTGGTTCATATCAAGAATTAGAAAATTTAACCAGAAGTCAATCATACAGTGATGACGAGACACAGCACTCTCGAGCTGCAAATCCTTTCATCAAGTATTCTCCCCCACCAGTAACACAACAACCAACTATGAATGGAGCTCCAAAGGGGCCTTTAGATGAAGCCCAACAGCCTGAACCATACATTGCTGCCAATCCCACACGCCCACTAACCTTTGACATTTGTTTTTTTTCATATGAAGTGAGAGAAAATTAAGTTAAAACTTATCTACACCACTAAAAAATAATGATACAAAAAAACAATTAGAAGACTTGTTACCTTCAGCGCAATACCACCACTTGAGGCCCCAGATGCTATGTGTCCTTCAGTGTCAACACAAATGACTCCAACAGTGTCCAGGATGCTATCTTCTTCCATTGCATGTTTTACAGATAATTGACCTCCCCCCTTCTCCTTCAAAGGTTCGCAAGGTTGAGCTTGTACTTCTGCAAAAGATATACAACTAGCATAAATATCTGTTCAATATCTCACAGATGTAGGACTTACATCTCCAGCAAAAATTAGGCATTGAAGAAACAATCAACAATATATGTTCCAGCTAAAAAAGGCTTATTCACACATAACAATAACCATTAAGCAGAACCGATGATAGACACATAACATCGAGAGAATGCAATTTGTCTCATCTATACAAAAATGATGAACCTAGTAATTGGGAAATTTTGACTCTGAAATTCACAAATTGCAGACATTAAGTCACACTAGGATAAAGTAAACTATGCAGAAAAGTACATGCACAGGTCAGTCTCACCATCTAGGAAAGGCAGATGTGTAATATTAGAGCAAAATTAGCCAATTTATTAATGGTTTGGAATAAAGGGGATTATTGGAACAAAACACCAATGGACCACCTGAAGTGTTAACTGCCTCCCTTGCTCCACAAGAAAGTCCTTCAGTTGAATTCTCTGTCTTAAATTTGGCATCCACAAGCAATGATTTATACTTTTTCCACTGTGCTTTTGCCCGCTCTGTCACCAGCCACTGTTTCAAAAAATGCAAAAAGTGCAATACATGCATCCTAAGATACAAGAATTTTCTGACTAAATAACCATTGCAGATGACATAACTGAAGTACTTTTACATTAACAAAATTGTGGTGAAAAAAATAACTACACCTGATCTGCCTCAGTTGTGGTAGCTGGTAAAGCAATGCCTTTGGACTTTGCCCATACTCGGGCACCTTCTCCAACCAAGAACCTGGCATAAACATCAAAAGCTCCCGAATATAATATAAGAAAATAAACCAAAATAATCTTCAGGAGCATTACATCATTAAAGTAGAGAAAAACATTGTACCCTATTAAAGATTTCATTGCTACAACTATGCCAAGTTTATCTAATTATTTTAATGCATTCCTAAGTTAATCTCATTATCAGCATCAAAACGTTATCCAACATGGATACTCATGGAAACAAAATATTTTCTATTAGAGTGACCTTTCCAGCACAAAACAACAATTATCCCTGCACAAAATAAAGAGTACTTTGTGAAACAGACATGCATCCATTGCAAGCATACGCTAATTCACAAGCATGTTGTCATGACACGACAACAATAAGAATCTAAAAAAGAAGTTACAACTTTGTACTCATTTTTCATACCAAAGGATACCACTTAAAATGGGATTACAATAAAAAATTCATATAATTATTATAATACCAAAGCACATATAGGTCTACAATCTTAAAAGCCATTCTGCAGCAAAATTTCCTAAACAAAGATGACAAATTTGGGGTTATGAAACGAAATCTAGTGAGAAACCAACACAATGTTTCAATTAGAAAACAATAATTCTAAAAGAGACGAAAAAGAAGGGAAAAAATAGTAATCATTACATGGGAGGTATTCGACCCAACAAGGAAGATCCCATCATTTGTTCCTTGGCCAAGGTAGCAGCAATCTGGATGGCATTTCTGACACCTGGTCTACAACTAATAAAATTAAGAAAATTTTGAGTATAACTAAAGAGTGAAAACCTAAACAAGTATTGGCAGTATTTGAGGAATCAAAGGAACAACCAAAAAAGTAATTTTACATAAAAATAAAAGAACATATAAATGTAATCCTAAAGGTAGTAAATACCTGGCACTGCTCCAACGGCCCCAAATACTCCAGAATCACCATCCATGACACTAGCATCACATTCCACGTGACCATCTTCCGTCAAATTGGAGCCTCGCCCTGCATTTGTACTCGGATCATCCTTCAATAAAATAAAGTCGACCCAAATAAGAATCGTAGGAATACACACACAATTAAGAAAATAACCGTGAATTATATTAAATCTCGTTTCAAAAATCAAAACCCTATAATAGAAGTTGAAAAAAAAAAAAAAAAAAAAAACAAACAAACAAAGAAGTACTCAGGAATGTGAGTATGAAAAATTTTCTGCCACAAACAACAGATTAGAAAGATATTTAATTACCTCCAAACACTTGAATGGCCGTGTCACAGCGTCAATACATCTACCAGAACCCTAATTTCAATACCAACAAATTTGCATAAAATTAAAATAGATTGATCTTAACGGGGAATTAAAAAAAAAAAAAAAAACAAATGGTTTCAAGAAAGTTTCAGAAAAAGATTGAGTGTTTAGAATAAAACCTGCCCAAGAACAGAGGCGGCAGCGAGGCGAGCGCGTTTTATGGCAGACGTTAGGGCTTTTTCGTTCGAAGGTGAGTGATACCCGCACAACGTGAACCGCCACGAAGAACCTTGGATTCCATCTCGGTCTCGCCGGCCATTAACAAGGGTAGTGAGTGAGTGAGTGAGTGAGCAGTGATTTTGTTGGCCGTTATGATTCATAAAGTTCGTCAAATTAGCCGTTTACATATTCAGTGACTTTTTTTTTTCTAAATCTTTTTACAGACTTGCTTTCACATCTTGCAATTGTAGGTAAAAAATTAATTAAATAATCTGAATTTAACGCAAGATTTTTCATATATTAATTCCATAACAAATAGAATCCAATTACCTTAATCATGAATTTTGTTTCAAAAACTTACTAAATTGAAAAGTGGAAGAACTTTTTTACAAAAATTATAGAAAATCTTTGACGAACAAAGCAATTTTGTTTTTCATTCTCTCTAATTCGAAATTGATAAACAATTTGAGTGAAGACCACAAGATCAAGACAAAAATTTGTCAATATTCTGGAGAAACAAGGAACTTTGTAGCATGCTAAAGTAAAAAAAACCATCATTCAACTGCAATTTTGTAAGAATCATGACCTAGAGATGGAAAATATGTTCTCCGATTAACAATTCATCACGCCTGTTTTCATTGATGTTAAACCATAAAATCGAAATGAAAGATTTTCAGAAGTTTCTCAGCAGAGAGAATGAACATGACTTGTCCGAATTCTTAATGGGCAGTTCACCATGGCAGGAGCGTTTTGGCCGTGGATCCAGACCATATCTGTGAGCATGGAGACTGCTTCAAACAGAACCTTGAACTTGAGATAGAAAGAAAGTAGATTCTGGCCTCCCTGAACCATCCAAGAATGCATTCGTTTGCTACAAAATGAAAAGTTGGGAATCATTCACACAAACAAGTTTTGGTGATTGATCTAAACTTTGCAATTTGGGAATTGTATTATATACTATACCTCTTTCAGGAGACGAACTTAACCTCCCCTTCACAGCAGAACTGCACTTCCCTATCTGTTACGATAATGGAACAGTTTTGAAAAGTGTTAGCCCAAAAAACCATAGGTTATTCAAGCCTCTAACACTGCCTAGGGTTTAATGTCAAGAAAACAGTAATAACTAATTATACTGAGTCATCACCGCGGGTCAGCTGAGAATTAAAAATTTCAAAAAAACCGCTCTTGCTTATGCCAATGACCACATCATATTCTAGACCCTCCAACATAAGATCTTTATATTCCCGCCCAGAATGAATATCGGTCAAACTCGTTTCCCTGTAATCTCTATTCCTGATAGTGGATAACAGAGCACGCTCAAAATTACGTTCTTATCATTACAACCTATTAAAATAAAAAAAGAAAGAAAAATTCAAGAATATTGCCCTAACCAGGAGCCTCAGTTTGATGGTGACGTTTAATGCTCTGCTTCACCAGAGAGGGTGACGGAGTAATCTTCATGGTATCGAGTGAGAGCTTATCGACCAACTCTGTAATATTCATAGAAGCATGACCAATGGGAGGGCATCGAAAGGGAACAAAAATTGAAGATTTGATTCGTACGACTGCCGCCATGAATTCGTATCGATCAGAGTCAGAAGCTCTTAGCGATATGCTATCTGAAAAGTAGTGATGATGGCCCTTTCTGACAGCTTCTCAAGGACGAACATGAGGAATTGTAAAAGAGATCCTTACCCAAGAACTTGACTTCAGCCATAGCGTGTGTGTCCTGAGACGACAGTGACGGTTAAATGTTTGGAGGGAAAGGAGGTTGCGCTTTTGAATAGTTAAGGATGTAATAGTTTTTATTATTTTGAAAAGAGTTATTTTCCCTTTATGTAATAATTTAATTTGATCTATATTACGATCATTAAATTAACATTGAAAGTCATTTCAAATTGGATATTTTAATGTAGTAACCCATTATGAAGGAAATTTTATAATTATTATAAATATTAATCATTCTTGAATAAATTTCAGTGATCTCTCCTTTTTACATGGAAAATACAAGTTTAAGTTTCAAATCACTCCCAAGATTTATCTTTAAAGTTATATCAAATCATTGCCCATTACATTTCTAGTGACATTTGAAAAAAAAAAAAAAAAAAAAAAATCTTTTTATAGACTTCCTTTCACAATCTTGCTAATTGTTAAGTAAGAAAATTTATTAAATAAATCTGAATTTAACATAAGATCAAGACAATAAAGTTGGTCAATATTCTGGAGAAACAAGGAACTTTGAAGCATGCCAAAGTAAAATACCCATTATTCAACTGCAAATATGCAAGAATCATGACCTAGAGATGGAAAATATGTTCTCCCATTCCAGTAGTTCAAATAACATAAAATATCGGTGAAAATAAAAGAAATTACATCAAATTGCTCATAAAAGAATTACATTTTTATTCTCACAACAGTAAAATCAATATGTTTGTCCTAAGCTCTGGGGTTGGCTAGGAAGAGAGATTTGCACTTATCCACCGTATCTTCAGGGCTGGTAACTGCAAAACACATGCCATCATATAAACCCATCACAGAAACAATTCAAAACATTCTGTACATCCAACTGCTTTGTGCGCATTCAACAGAAACGAAATCATCCCATCTTGATTTTTAATGTCTTGAAAATAAATTCATTTTCTCACCAATAAAATCATTTCTCAAAATTTCAAGGGAAGGGTTATTTACATCTTTTCTTCTACCTACTAGTCAGCTCCATTATGGTCATTTATTGAATCGTTCCTTTATTTACACCCTATTCAACTGAAAACTGAATGAAATAACATGATTCCAGGTGACATCCAAAATTCCTAATTATGAATCAATGTTAAAATATAAGCTCACCTGTGTGACCCACTGTTCGCTCAGATTCATAAATTTCATGATCATTCCCTCCCTGCTCAAAACAAAAACCCAAGCTCTACCATTAGTATCAAGAGACGATATGAAACTACTGAACAAAGAAATAGATTTACATTAATTACTACGTAATTGCCAGATGCATACAAAGACTAGACTATAATGAACCATCAATGATGATAATAAATCCGTAAGCATTGGAAAGCTGTGGATCAAGCCATAATCCTTAGGGCAAACTTATCCCGGAAAGTATGATATTAGTGGTGATTGAAGCCCTTGAAGGAAAGATTAAATGAAAATAGAATAATAATTATCACTAATATACAGAAACGTCACTACAGGAACAGAAACAAGGAGGAGATGAGTGGTGTATGCACAAAGAAGGTACAGAATAGCCAAAATAAAGAAGCAACAAAGTAACGGGCTGACCTTGTAAGTTTTGTCTCCAAAGAAGTGAATTTCATGGAAGTCATCAAGGTACTTCAAACAGTATGTCTTGTCCCAACCTTGAGGGAAAACCTAGCACAATCATCATACAACATGAAACATTCAATAGCAATACTTCCAATTTACCCTATATTAATATGTTCAATGATATTAAAAGATAAACTAGATATAGTAACACAGACATCAAAGCTTATCTGTCCCCCAATTGAAAACTTCAAGTTGAGATGAGCAAACTTCTCCCGAAGCACAGATACCATTTTTGGGCGGATATTGTGAACCTGAAACCTCAGTTGTGTATATTTCAGCACAAACATCACCAAACAGAATATCTACACTAAAAAAACATGAACTACCAATATGATCCTTTGCATAACAGGAATAAATAAAAAATAAATTCTCACCTTGTCATACTTTTCAAACTCATCCCTTTCTTCTTGGCTGCAGTTTCTCCCAATAGGTGAAACATTGAGCATCCCACTCCTGAATTCAATGAATGTTCCCCTGCAGAATTATATAATATGAACAGAAAAAGCATTATTCAGCAGTACAATTAAATGGATACACAGTATACGGTTTAACTTAAATTGATACTAGGGCTCTGATCTATTAACCTTTTTATTGGAATGTCCAAGTCAGCAATATAGTGAAGTACGAAATTTATGAATTCCTGCATAATTGATTGCAATTTATCACAATAACAATTCAATAATCTCCATATACGAATAAATTCTCCACACATGAAGTCATTGAGCCCACTCTTCAGCAAGCATTCACAAGAGCTCGTAACCAAAATGTGACCGAATATATGTATATATTACACATGTAATTTAAAAGTCATCCACGTGACAGGGGCAGATCTTACCTTGAGCTTTTCCTCTCCAAGAAAAGACTTCAAGCTCTGCACAAAGGAAATATATAATCAAGGGTTAACTCATAAAACGTTTACTGTCGCTTTTAGTTAAGTGCTTCAATTATACCAAAATTAAGAACATCAAATACTGGGTGCCAATTAATTAAATTCTGATACAAGCGAGGGACATTCTGATATCTGTTACTTGTAATTACAATTTTGGGTTTACTTGTTAATAATACCTGGGTGCCTATCAGTTTCCCATCCTTATGAGCAACTAGTCCATTCTCCGAAAATACATAATCATAGTCATTAATGACTGCAAAACAAAAATATGGTTTAGAGACTCTTCAATCTCCATAGATTCTAAAGAAAATAAACCAGAAAGCTACATTTACACGAGCTTTTGAAAAACAGATTCATTTCTCTTCAAGCAAGAAATTATTCAATAAAAATTTTCTAACCCGAATTTCCGAGCTGCTCTGATATCTTAGAAAGGTCTGATCCACCGACAACACCAACTGTAACAACCTACAAATGCAAGAAAAACCAACTAAGCATGAAAGCACTTGATCTTCTATTACTCATTACACTCATTACCTTTCTGAGTTCTCGCATGAACTCCAACATTTGCGGGGTGGCCTCCTGGCAAGTTAAAAGGGAGTCAAATATTGCATCAAAAATAAACAATTTACTATGTAAGGAGGATCAAATGATGATTCATACCTTTCTTGGAGCCGTAAGAGTTCCATCAACATCAAACAAAGCAATTAAACCTGGCTTTCTTGTCGCCATTGGAGTTTAATGTAAACTATCTGCAACCAAATCCACAAAATTCGTAAAGCTTTTTGCCAGTGGAAAAGAAAATATCACTTGCCTTCAATTCAACGATTATTCACCTGAAAATACAAGGAACTTCATAAAAATGTGATAAAATGCAGAGTTTGATGTCCGTAAAAGTAAGATGCGGACACGGAATTTATAGCAGATCTTGATTAACAGAAGCTTGGAGGTCAAGGGAATTAAATAAGTTCTATACGGGTAACTTCAGAGTAACAGTTTAGATCTCAAGATGAGTATTTGGTGGATACTGCTCTTTTCTCCAGATCAGAACCGTCATCTGATCACGACGACAGATATCGACGGTCATTGTGAGTTGTGGGCCGATATAGGGACTATAGAGATGTTGACTCTTTGGCTGAGAGTTGCCGCGTCATAATTGGCTCACATGTAAGCTGATTGGGCTACAATGAATAATGAAGTCCAGCCCACACCATAACCGAACCCAACAAAACACGTAATATAGAAGTCAGGAAGAGAGTACGCACGAAAAAAAGCATGTTTTTGGTGTACGAAAAATGTATACATCTGTATTAATTATTTTTATATCAAATTTTAGTTTCATATAATTAAATTGCCAGAAAAAGGAATGACGGTGGCAAAAGAGAAGAGATGTAAAAATCAAGGAGGAAGAGAGGAAAATTCACTTGTTCCAGTACTTTTTTGTTTTGTATTGAGGAAACTTCTCATTTGTTACAAACTTCAAATTTCAGTTCTTAGTGAGTGGGGTCTTCGGCAACTTCCTCTACAGTTTCTGTCTTATTTCCATTATATTTATTTATACTATGCTTATTGCTTCCTGGAGCAACTTTCAAACAGGTAATGGTCAAAAATCTGATCCATTTGTCTCCATAACAAGGAATCAGAAGTATAATGAAACGATAAAGTTAAGCCATGGATTGATAGCTTCTAAGTACCAACAAAAATTGCATGATTAAAGAGTCTAAGCTAGATACATTCAAATACTAAAATTACACATGAAAGAAGTCAAGAGACTTGCAGGGTTATTTAGCAGTATATGTTATTAATAGGAAACAAGCTCTGTGTGGGTTTATTTTCATTTTCACAAAGAGGTTTATTCAATTAAAAAGGTGTTTCTTCCTTCCTGATAAAGTAGAGACCAGAAGGACCATCCTTGGGCAGCAAAGCTAACCTCACAAGATTTTCTGCACCTTCTTCAATTGTGAGGTTGCCAGTATTCTGGTTTATATCTGTTTTCACAAAGCCAGGGCAAACACAGTTGATGCGGAAAGTTTGGTATCTCTTAGCCAGAATCCTTGTGTAAGCATTCAGGGTAACTTTGGAAACAATGTAGGCAGAAAGATGGGGAGGCCAACCCTTTGTTGCTAATGAGCCCTCTTTGAAATCTTTCAAAAACTCAGTCAAAACCTCATCTAATCTCTCTTCTGAGAGGTTTTCAGCATCACTTAAAACTTCCTTAGGCCATCCATCAGGTATGTTCTGAAACAAAATGACAAAAATAAAAAAATCATGTTAGCTATTCCTATAAACATGTTTTGATAACAGACTGTTCTATCTGTCAGAAACTAAGTTTCTCATACATGCTTGGCAAAATCGTTTTATTATTGTCTTGGCCAACAGTTTCTATAGGGTAAAAAAACACAGGGTAATGAGATATTTCAACTAGTATCAAGTTAAATGCAGCAGCGTATCAGGGTGCCCTTTATGAAGAATCATTCCGATAATTTGTTACCTTTAGCCTTCCTGCACCAGAGGAAACATTGACAATCTTCGGTGAATCAGATAACTGAAGGAGGGGAATAAGCGCTTTAAATGTTCTTTTGGCACCATAATAATTTATTTTCAGGCATTCTTCTGCTAACTCATACGTTTCTGTCAACAGATTGCTCCAATCAATTTGCTCAATGTCTGGCTGCCAATTGTTTATTAATTAATGTAGAATATAGCCAAAACAATATTAAAAGCAGAGTAATTTCATAAAGTAAACCAATCAACCAAACAGTACGAAAGAATGAACAATTTAATAGCTGCTCTATCTGTCCTAGACATTTTTTTTTCCACTATAAGAAGCAAAAAATCATGGCAATGAAATTGCACTACCTTTTCTTAGCAAATTTTTTTTACCAGATTAGTATATTTAGCCACCTCACAGGTTCATTTTGGAGAAAAGTATATAGCATTCATTTCTTCTTGAATTACAATAACAATCTCCAAGCAAAAGATTAAGTCTAACCATATGTTTTGGTTACCAAAAGAGACAGAAAGCTACTCTTCTTTAATGTGGACACCAACCCAGAATTGTCATTAGGTTCTGCAAAGAACGATTAGTATATCGAAAACTAACCAGTCTAACCTTAGTAGAAAGAGAAGCGCTTAGAGCATCACCATCCAATATGTTTCCAATAACCCCTGCATTGTTCACCTGCGCAATATTTTACGATTTTTCATCCTTCTTGCAGAGGGAGAAAAATATATACAAACTACAAAATTATGTATCCTTCCAAATCTTCGGAAGATGCTATATTCCTTGATTCAATTACAAAGTATCCGCCATTCTTTGAAAAAAAAAGGAGGATACAGGAGCTGATCCCTATAATTAGAACGGTAAATAACAAAAACAAATTCAGAACGTTAACTAATTGATGGCTCTTCATGCCTAGTTGATAATCAGAAATCAGGAGGAAATTCATAGTTCAATGTTTGTAGCAGGATTGATGCGGCTTATCAAAGTAAAAGTTTAATTTTGTTATTCCCTATTAGCATAAACTAGGGTAAGTCAAATTCTTCCAGTAATTGAAAATTCTATTATAAGATTAAAAAATAAATGAAATAATTATACAATGTTACCAGAATATCAAGTTTTCCAAATTGGTTTTGGATAAAATCTTTTAGAGCAGCAATACTAGCAGGATCAAGCACATCAAGCTGATGAAAAAGCACATGATCAGAAAGGCCAAACTCTTTCAGCTTTTCAACAGCTTCAAGTCCTCTTTTCTCATCTCTAGCAGTTAACACCACTGTGATCCCATTTGAAGCCAGCTGCTTACATACTCCAAAGCCAATCCCTTTATTTGCTCCGGTCACAACTGCATACCTGAGAAGACAACAAAATGCGATTAATTATTTTTGTTATGTAAGTGAATGTGTGGGTACGTAGCACGAAAGAATAAAACACAAGTACCTCTTTGTCGTTGCTTCTTCCATTGTTACGACTTCTTTCAGAAGCCAGAGAATTGAAAAATGAAACAGAGGTTTCGTTTATTAATCAGTAATCAGAAAACTGGACTTTTATGCAGAATTGTGTGGATACCGATTGTAGAAAAGTATAGTTGACTGACGATCGACGACTTTTAGATAACGTTGAGGCCTTTGTCAATACAGTAAGTCCCAATATTATAAAACAAGTACCGTTTCTTGTTTTTAAAAGGTAAATATTATTATGTGAAACGGTATTTTTGTTTGATAATTGATCATGTGAAAGTTGTTTAAATATGAAATAAATAAATATATAGATAGGTTATCTTTCTTAAATTTTAGCCAGTAAACTAAGATTTAAAGATATTCAAATATTAAAATCACACATGAAAACCTGAAGCAAGTCACAGATTATTGAAATAGTAGATGTTATTAATACATAAGGAACAAGCAACATGGTAGTTTACAGTCTTGTGTTTAAGATTCATTTTTACACAGTGATGATATATATTCCACAGTAATTACATTATTCTTTTAATTAATTCAAAATGGTGATTCTTCCTTCTGTTCGAAGTAGAGACCAGAAGGACCATCCTTGGGCAGCAAAGCTAACCTCGCAAGAATTTCTGCACCTTCTTCAATTGTTAAAGTGCCGGTATTTTTGTTTATATCAGTTTTCACAAAGCCAGGGCAAACACAGTTGATGCGGAAAGTCTGGTGCCTCTTAGCCAGAATTCTTGTGTAAGCATTCCATGTAGTTTTGGAAACTATATAGGCGGAAATATGGGGAGGCCAACCCTTGCCTGCTAAGGAACCCTTTTAAAATCTTTCAAAACTTCTGTCAAAAACTCATCAAATCTCTCTTCCGTTAGGTTTTCGGCATCATTTAAAACTCCCTTGGCCCATCCATCTGGCATGTTCTGAGATAAAAGGCCAATAATAACTTAATTTAGCTATCCTATGAACATATTTTAAGAACAGAGTAGATTATCAATGAGGAATTACAGTATGAAGTTTAATGTAATGTTTTTTTTTTTTTTTTTTTTTTTCCGAAGAAAATTTCTGCTAATTTATTACCTTTAGCTTTCCTGCACCAGAGGAAACATTAACAATCTTTGGTGAGTCAGATAACTGGAGGAGTGGTATAAGCGCTTCACATGTTCTTTTGGCACCATGATAGTTTATTTTCTGGCATTCCTCAGCTAACTCGTAAGTTTCCGTCACTATTTTGCTCCAATCTATTTGCACCTTTTCTACCTGTCATTTTTTTTAAAGGCACAGCAAATCAGCAAACAAAGTAATATATGATTAAGTTTATCAGCTTCAGGGAACCTCAATTCAAACTAAGGCAATGCATGAAACAACTTAATAGATGCTAAATTGTTCCAGAGATTCTTTTACCGTATATTTAGTCAATTTATCTTAGCTTAACAACTTTAGCAGATCACTCAATTTAACCTCTCATCTGTTTACTCTTTAAGTCTATAAAGAAGCACGCTTTAAAAGCAACCTCCAAGCAAATGGAGTTGAAGCCTAACCATGATCAGTTATCACTAAGAAAGTTACTCTACCTTGAACTTGCTACCAACACAACACTCTCTTTAGTTTGTGCAAAAACAGCTTATTATGGAAATCTAACCTTGTAAAATCCTGAAGTTCTCAAAGCATCGCCATCCAATATGTATCCACCAACCCCTGCATTGTTCACCTTCGCACAATTTTGAGATCTTTCATCCATCTTATCTTACATGAATAGAAGAGAGAAAAAGCTATTATGTGAACCAGAAAAATAGGGTTCAAACTGAACATAGAAAATTTTCCAATCTGATGTATAGAAATTCTTCACTTGTCATCAACAAATTCAAATTCAAAACATAAATTTATGGTTCTTCATGCCTAGTGGTAGATCAGAAATTAGGAAATGTATTCTATGATCAACCAAAGAAACGAAAACACATTCTTACCAGAATATCTAGTTTTCCAAATTGGTTTCTGATAAAATTTGCTAAAGCAGCGATACTAGCAGGATCTTGCACATCAAGCTGATGAAAAAACAGATGATCAGAGAGACCAAACTCTCTCAGCTTGTCAACAGCTTCAAGTCCTCTCCTAACATCTCTAGCTGTCAACACTACTATGATCCCATGTGAAGTCAACTGCTTACATACTCCAAATCCAATACCCTTATTTGCTCCTGTTACAACTGCATACCTGACAAAAAGTGAACAAGTTTTTGGTATTTATTATGTATGGCAAGTGTATATAAATAGCATGAAGAAGAAGACAGAAGTGCCGAAATACCTCTTTGTTGCCGCTTCTTCCATTGCTAGTAGAAGTTGCAACTTAATTCTGTGACTGAAGCTGATGTTTTGGTTATTAATCACAAAACCGTTTACTTTTATGCAAAATTAAATGTAACAAGTATGCTTGACTAAGATTTACGACGCATGTTGAGGTAATAGTGAAATAGTCATCACATAAAAAACCTACACGATAGTTTAGGATATTATAGAATAAGGAATGGAATAAGGACTGCTTTTAGATTTGAAAATGTCATTATCACATAGGTGAATATATTATTGTATAAATGTATTATTCAATTAGATACTATCTTCCGTCTTGAGTTCAAGTTGTACTAAGGGATGATCAATTACCATAGCTGAAAAAAAAATTAGGTACTCCCAGGACAATGTATTTTTAACCAAAGCACATTTTCTGTGTATTTAATTGCATATTCTCCTTTATCATTTTCTGAGAATCGCGGGTATGGTAAGTTTGATATCTTGTTTAGCTAGAAATTTTTAGAAAACAGGAAATCTGAAAAAAAATGAAACTGCATTCTGAACACATATATTACATTTCAGAATTAATAAAAGAAAACCATTTTCTTCCCAATTCATAACAGAAAAGGCCCTAAGCTTCCCTACTGTCAGCTGAAAAGAAGTGCAATTTTAGGTAAAAACACTTAAATTTCTTGTGCAGTGAACATAATTTTGAATATATTTTTTTACCCTGCAGGTCCTAAGCTTTCCTACAGGCCTTAACTGCAGATCCAAACCAACAAGTTGGAAACGATTTGCAGCTATCAGAGAGGTGAATATAACTTTTTTTCCCCTTGCATTTCGCAACACGAATGAAAAATGGGTATTTGAGAATTGAGATCCACAATCATGAACAAGTCAAACTATAAACAAGAAGGCATTTAGTTGAAAGTGTAAATATGCAACTTTATAAAGTACAAGAATGACACTGACAAAAAATATATATATAAACACATCATAACTTGTTACAGTTACAGACAATTACATTTCTTAGTCATAAAGTAGAAGGAAAAAATATTAGATTTTGACAAGCTACGTTGGTTTAACTTTTATAAATAGAAACTAGGAATGGATCATGTTCACTAAAAAGAGCTCTCTTCGTTCCTTGAAAAGAACATACCAGAAAGACTGCCATCGGGAATCAGTGCTAACCTCACACAACTTTCAGCACCTTCTTCTACAGTTAATATGCCTCTATTGTAGTTTATGTCTGTTTTGACATAGCCAGGGCAAACACAGTTGATGCACAAAGTTGGGTACTGTTTGGCCAGGATCCTTGTATAGGCATTCATAGCTGCTTTTGATACAATATAAGCAGGCATGAAAGCAGGCCAGCCTTTGGCTTCGAGTGAACCCTCTTTAAAATTCTTCAGATACTCATTCAACACCTCATCCACTCTCTCTTTGGTAAGGTTTTCAGCATCACTTAACACTTGTTTGGCCCATTCGTTTTTCACGTTCTAAAACGAAATGATAATAATTATAAGTTCAAACTTTCCAGGGAATATATTTTTACAACTAATAGAATGTGTCTGACATGAGATACAATTTGTAAACAAATGAATATAAGGAGACTAATAATTTACTATACATTGAGCAGAATTTATCAATTCGGTCAATTCTGAGTGAGATTATTGAAACAAAACTTAAATTCACTTACCTCTAACTTTCCCATGGAGGAGGAAACATTAACAATTCTTGGTGAATTGGATAACTGAAGGAGGGGAATAAGTTCTTCACACATTCTCTTGGCGCCATAGTAGTTTGTTTTAAGACATTGCTCAGCTAACTCATAATTTTGAGTCATTATTTCATTCCATTTGATTGGAACTCCTTCCTGCATGATGAGCAAAAACATATTCTTATTAGCGGTTCCCATACATTTCTTCCGAAGCAAACAAATTGTATTTCCAAATCATCAATTCAACAAAACTTTACAATGATATTCACCCCAAAACGTTCGCACACGCCCTTTAAATAGAAAAGAATGAATATAACTAGTGTCACCCATTTAACACCCACTTTTCTCTCTTCTAAATTACATTCAATCCCAATTAATTACAGACACAAGAGTACCTTCACAAGATCCGATAAGGCATCACTATCCACTATGACTCCACCAATCCCAGCATTGTTCACCTGCCAGCAAAGGTCCAAAACATTTCAATAATAAATATCTAAGAAGAGAGAAAAAATGGTTAATGGCATCGCATGTCCTTTCTATTGCACAAAGAAACTAATTTTTTTCATCTTACAGAACAAAGAAAACAAATAGAGGCGTAAGATTTTGGGGAAATGATATTGTATCATACCAAAATGTCGAGCTTGCCAAACTGATTTCTGATGAAATTAGCAAGAGAGTGAATGCTAGCGTTGTCGGCCACATCAAGCTGATGAAAGACCACGTTGTCAAAGCCAGATGCTTTCAGCTTCTCAACAGCTTCAATACCTCTCTTCTCATCCCTGGCCGTCAATACGACAATGATCCCATTTGAAGCTAATTGCCTACATATTTCAAACCCAATTCCCTTATTAGCTCCTGTAACAACTGCACACCTAAACACAGAAGACACAAAATTGGTGAACATGTGTAATGAAAGTACGAAATAAGCTACATAAATAAATAACTGAATAACTACCTTTTTGTTACTGGTTCCATTGATACTGAAGGCTTTACACTTGGAAAAAATGAGAGAACTGAAATATGGAATTCGTGAGTTTAAGTGAAGACACAAGGACAAGACTTTTTTGAAGTTTAAAAAGACATTAAAGGAAAAAGAGAGAGATCTAGAAATGAAAAGAAAGAAATAGAGCCACAAAACAAGTCTCTAGCATATGAAAGTACGTAACAACCATTGAAGCCACATTTACTAAGCTATATCTCATCAATGAGAAAAGAAAAAGGAAAGGCCAGAAGGCACTCCACGATGCAGAACATGAATGTCATGGTATTTTGTCTCCTTCAATAATTCTGTTTAGGGTCCACTGGCCGGCGTTGTAATATATCAGTTTTGACAATGATTTTGTCGAGGAACAATGCTATAATCTACTAGAAAAAATTTAATCCGAAGTCATTTCGTTATTTAATAGTGGGTATATCAATTGTTTTCATAACAATAAACTATATGCATGCTTAGTAATATTTTATAAGTATAAAGGATACTACAGTCAGACAACCATTGTATAGCTAAATATTAAACATGTTCATACTGAACTATTAAGGAGCATAAAATATGTTTAGCATTCGGAGTGGTATTTGAACATTAATATAAAAAAGGCAAGGTAATTTCGGCTCCTTCAACAATACTGTCGAGGGTCCACTGTCCAGTTTAGACAAAGATTGTATAAAGCCCAATTTATGTCCTGTTAAATACCTCCAAAGCAAAGAAATTGGCCCAATTGGCCCAATATATGCTGAACTCCATAAATCTGCTAATTTTTTTTTTTTTTTTTTTAGGGTCTAAACTAATTTATGCACACCTCAATTAATCTTTTGAGCTCTAAAGTATACAATCGAATAAATCTCCTCATGGAAACCCTATTAATGGATGGGAGGACTTGAAATCTGCTAAATTTATGTTTTTCAGTGATTAGGGCATGTCGTCTTTCAGTTGTACCGCTTGTTGCCATTTAATATACGACATGTCGTTTGGATTTAGTACAAACATGTGATAGAACATGTTGCCTTTTGTTACTGGTACGACATCGGCCACCAAATTAGCAGTTTAAGAAATTCACAATCATAAAAGAAATTCCAACATATTACAAAATCTTATTATTTCAAGATACACATTATTCAAAACTCGTAAACAATACAAGAGAAAAACAGTGAATTTTTGACAAGCTATGAATCACAAGAGGCCTCCTCTGTACGTGAAAAGAATAGACCAGAAGGACCACCAATCGGCAGCAATGCTAACCTGACACAACTCTCGGCACCGTCTTCAACACTTAATATACCTGTATTGTGGTTCATCTCTGTTTTGACGTAGCCAGGGCAAACACAGTTAATGCAGAAAGTTGGGTACTTCTTGGCCAGTATCCTTGTGTAAGCACTCATAGCCGCTTTGGATAAAATATAAGCCGACAAAAAACCAGGCCACCCTTTGGTTTCTAGTAAACCCTCTTTATAATCATTCAGATACTGCCTCAATATTTCATCCACTCTCTCGGTTGTAAGATTCTCGACGTCTCTTAATACTCCTTTGGCCCATTCATTTGTCAAATACTGAAGCAATAAACAATGTTTACCATTCCACGGAATATTGTGAAAGACAACTAAAATGCAACACAAGTTAAAACAATAAGGGAAATGGTTTACCTGTAACTTTCCCAAGGTAGAGGAAACATTAACGATTCTCGGTGAAGTAGATAACTGGAGAAGAGGAATCAATGCTTCACACATACTTTTGGCGCCATAGTAGTTTATTTGAAGGCATTCTTCAGCTAACTCATAAGATTGAGTCATAATTAAATTCCATTTGATTGGCGCACCTTCCTGCATTATTGGGAGAAAAAATTATCTTAATGGTGGTGATTCATACAATTACTACTCACCAACTCAACAGTAGATACAAGAAAATTGAGGGACTAGCTTGCATGGAATGAAGCTTTATGTAGTCAACAAAATATATAGGCAAACTATACTTTCGAACCAATCAATGTATCGAAAGCTATTATTATTTTCCAAAAATCATTAGGCAAGTACCTTGATATGAGCTGAAGCATCGTCACGAAAAACTGCTCCACTGATCCCTGCATTGTTCACCTGCCAAGAAGTTCAACATATCTCATTGACAGTTTATGTATCGACCAGAGACAGTTATTAATTTGACCAAGAAAGCTAGTAGATTCTCGTGATATATTTTGATAGGGTGTTCTTACAGTTAATGCACCAAACAGTTTCACATAGTAAATAATTATGCGTGATGATCAGTGACCACCTTCATTAAAAATATATAATACACGGGCAGTAAAATTTTCAAGAAATTAACTGATTTTCAATCTAAACCTTACCAAAATATCAAGCTTTCCAAATTGACTTGTGATGAAATCTGCTAAAGAAGTAATACTAGCAGGGTCTGCCACATCAAGCTGGTAAAAAACCACATGATGATAGCCAGACTTTTTCAGTTTTTCAGAAGCTTCAAGACCCTTCTTCTCATCTCTTGCTGTTAACACCACCATGACTCCATTGGAAGCTAATTGCCTACATATTTCAAGCCCTATCCCCCTATTTGCTCCTGTAACAACTGCAATCCTGAATAGAGAAAATAGTATCTGAAGATAGAATGCAGTGAGAAAGTGTAATGACAAAAAGAAATTAAGAAAAGACATTACCTCCTCGTTGCTTCTGCCATTCGTTGGTCAAGTGTATAACTTAATTAAGTGTAGAAAATGATTGAACTAAAATTTAACACTTGTGAGTTGCTTCCATTGAGTATAAAAAGAAGGAAGTGGGACCACTTAGCCGACTTTGTTTTTATTACACCTAAGCCCACTCGCCCCTAGATTATTCATTATACCTCTAGATTCATACTACTTCAGCCTGTAAGAGGAAATAGAAGGGCATTTCTATATGACCGTTGTCTAAAACTAGATGTCATTCAATTAACCAGAAGAGTAGTTGATGAACTGTGATGAAAATACAAGTCAAATCTAATACATGTTTGGTCAGAACAATGAGCTCAAGAGTATCTTCCATGAGTATTTTTTTGTATAATTTTTAAATATAAAGAATATATTTTTTTTTTTGAATCTAATATTTTTTAAATTTAATGAAAATGTTCTTTATTTTTAAGAAAGAGACTTAATGGGGAGAGAGAATTAATAAATAAAATATATAAAAACTTTTAGTTTATTAATAAAAATTAGGATAGAGAGTGAAATTTAAGTCAAACTTACTCTCTAATTTATATTTTAAAGATAAAGAGTATACTGAACTCTTATTTTCGTGAATAGACTCTTTATAATAAAGAGTTTAGATCATATAAATAATTATTTGAAGATTTTACACAAAACAGATTCAATAAATATATGATAATGATCATCGTCAAGTCAAAACAGGTAAACAAGTAAACAACTGGATCCCATAATCAGCTATTACGTCGCCTTAATTTAAATTTGTTGAAAATTTCAGAAATCATGAATGAAAACGGGTCGCACTTGATTAATACATTAATAACTCGATGCTTTAATTTTTTACCAAAGATGAAGAAATGGGTGCATGTAATGACAAAGTTTAATCTTATCTCCTTACTTTATGCTTAAAGAATATAAAAATGGAGCACGTTGTTGTGATTCCAACAACATGAATAGTTTATATAAGTTTTAATATTGTTTCAGTCCATGCATGTTACTTCTTTATGGTCAAAGATGGAGGTAAGAATATGTTGAAAGAGATTCATTAATAGCCAATATGGCCGTCAAGTCTGGCGATTCATTATAAAAAATTGTCCCGTATCTGACTACAAATTCTCTCTCTTTTGAGTAATGTTATATCGAGGATCTCTTTTTACAAATTTTTTTTTAATCTTAATATAATTTATCAGTTATAATTTATTAGATTAAATTTACGATAAAGTTGTGAAAGAAAATTCATAAGAAGAGATCATAGATATAATATTTTCTTTACCTACCCTTATTTTTCCTCCTTCCGATCGATGTTAACATTTTCCAAACTAGTCACTATTATTATTCATAAGAATCAAAGTATCAATTAATGTTTGTCTTAAATGAGTTTATAGAGAAAGAGAAGGCGAAAGACTAGGCAGCTGAAGCTATACTAGCTCTTAAAATGTACAGAATTTCCATATATGTCATCAGGCATACATAAAACCAAATAAAAGTACTCCCATCTTTATCACTGAGATTAATTGTTTTGTAAGGAATCAGTAAATTAATTCAAAAGGTTGTCACTTGATTTCGAGAAAAGTAAAGTGCAGAAGGTCCGCCATGAGGCAGTAGGGCCACCCTCACACAGCTTTCAGCTCCTTCAGCAACAGTCAAGAGGCCAACATTGCAATTCATGTCAGTCATGACAAAGCCTGGGGAAACACAATTTATCATCTCAGTCATGCAATTCATGTCACTATGTATGCTGATTGATACACTGGCCAACCTTCTTTGTCTAACCATCCCTCTTTGAAATCCTTCAGAAATTTGTTCAATAACTCATCCAATCTCTCTTCTGTAAGCCTATTAACATCAAGTAGCACTCCTTTGACTGATTCACCAGGAACATTCTGGGCCAATATGACAGGAAATTTTTTGCCGGACATATTTAATGCCATGAGAAATATATATAAACAATAACAATTAGATTTTTAGCCAGTGTAAATACAATAATTTGTCCATGCATGTTGGAGCTGAGCATAAGAAATTACTCTTATAATTACCATCTGGTAATAAAATTAAGCTTAAATGAGGTATTTGGATCATCTAATGTTTTATTATAAAGGGATATTATATTAACGGAATAAAAAATCACCTTGAAGATTACTATGAATATTTAAAAAATGTGTTTGGTTGGTTCGAATAAATTGATGAATAATATGTTTGGTTGGGAGGATAAATTGGTGGATATGTTATATAGATTACTAAATTGCCGTCTTTTTTAAATATTAATATAATAATATTTTTTATTATTATTTTTTGAACAATTTCCTCTAACCCCCTACTTTTCAGATTTAGCAAAAACACCCTGGCAACCAAAAATGTTTTAAACTTAACAAAAAAAACCCCTACCCACCCCAGGCCACTATCGGTAGCCAGCCACCACCGTCGGCGGCAGCCAAAAGTGCCACAGATCTAACCTTGATGCCGGCAATGCCATAGATCTGGTCATGGTTGTTTCACGGCCACAGATCTAGCCATGAAATGGTCGGTTCTTTGGCTGTGAAACGTCAGTTGCTTCACAGCCACAGATTTGGCCGTGAAATGCCGATCGTTTCATGACCAAAGATGTGGCTGTGAATATGGCCATTTCCGACAGATCCATTGTCAGAAACATCCTCACTGACACACGGCTGGCCATATACGACTGATCATACACCATTATGGCAACTTTTGGCAACCTCCGGTGACGGTCCACGGTGGCTGACAGTGGTGGCTAGTTCTGGGTACAATAGTATTTCTGTAAATAATGACAATAACAAGGGGAATGTCGTCCAAAAAAATTTTAAAAATGAGGACAGAAATGTCTGCATGAGTGAATTGGGTGTTTTGTAAATCTTAACAAATATAAAACTAATTTGGACCAAATGTCAACTGTTTAGGGGCAATATGGGAAACAAAATATATTACCTTGGGTAAGTTTTAATAACAGCCCCCCCCCCCCCCCCTCCCCCCAACAAAGGTATTAAGATTCTCGGCAATTTACCCCCCAAATGCCACTGTTTGTCATAACATATTCTAAGAATAATTTTTTACAAACCAACCAAACATCATTATCTGTTCAATTTGAAAAATATAACCCCAATAATATAATATTAAGCCGATTCAAAAGACCTCAAAGTATGCAATACTAGTTCAATAACATGACTGCATTACACTAACAAAGATTTTAAAATTCTAATTTGTCCATTTAGCTGTAATTTTTCTGGAAGCATTGTACTTAGTATTTTCAGTTAATTGCTGAGAAGTCGGTCAGAAGCTGCTAATTTTATGACTATCACTTTCTTTTATACAGGACCCTTGAGAATGGTGTGTGTGGAACATGATTGTTCAGCAATGTAAAATGAAGCAAAAAAATTTGCTAGCCAGATAGAATATGAAGCGAATATCAGTGTTTTAAAGAAACCGAGTGATCAGCAGTGTGCATTTACAAGTACTTTGAATATATATACGAGAGCAATCAAGCATACATAAAGCATGTTATCTTGGAAATAGAAGATTTTCTATTACCTTCAACGTTCCTAGCAAAGAGGTGACGTTGACAATCCGGGGTGAATCAGATAATTGGAGAAGGGGAACAAGTGCTTCAGCCATTCTTTTTACACCATAGTAGTTTGTACTCAGGCATTCTTCTGCCATCTCAAGAGTTTGAGTTAAAATTTCATTCCAATTTATGTGCTCTCCTGGCTGAATAAAAAAAAAAAAAAAAAAAAAATTAAACTTGAGAATCAAAATGTATCCCATTTATGATTTAATTTGTACAAAATGCGTATTACATTTATCCACAATATCAAAGTCATATATGCTTCAACAAGATTATGTGGTGCAACTATGTCAGACATTCGTTTTCTCATGTTCAATATTTCTTCTGCTCATGCTTGACATGCCGTTTGCTACTTCCCCTACATTTGCATAAAGTAAAAACCTACCCAACCACCGGCAAGCTTCACAGCTCTCGAAAAAGCATCAGGGTCTTTAACTGCTCCAGCAGTCCCCGCATTGTTCACCTACCCAGTTCCCAAAATTTCATAATATTATTATTATTATTATTCCCCGCATTGTTCACCTACCCAGTTCCCAAAATTTCATAATATTATTATTATTATTATTATATGTGACAGGGTTGTCTGGGTAGTCGGTGCGCCCTTAATTAATTTTTCAAGATCTTGAAATTATGGTCTGATAGGTTTATAAGTGATCACCTTGATTAATTTTTTTTTAAGATCTTGAAATTATGGTTAGGGTAAGTTTATAAGTGATCACCTTATTAGAGTATTTAAAGATTCGAACTTAAGAGCTCATAAATTTTTTTTTACCTTTTTAGCATCAAGTCATTCCATAGTAATTGATTTGACATATTATTCATATGCTCAATATATTGGCTTTTTCGAATAATCAATCTAATTGATTGAAATAGATCAAACTTAATGAATACTAGTTTGATAGTGACTTTTGAGTGTATTATTTAAGAGATCCTGAGTTTGAGTCTTTTCTTGGTTGTTAATAAAGGTAGTCACTGAAACTTTTACTCGGTCGATGATTTTAGAGTCTTAGAGGATTAGTTGAAGTGTATGTAAACTAATTAAGACACCTTAATCATTAGAAGATTAGTTGAAGTGCATGTAAGCTAATCAAGACACTTTAATCATTAAAAAATAATATTTTTTAATTTAGTTTTGTGTAACATATTGCGTGTTTTACTCAGCTCTATGTTCATACACTTATGTCTTTAATTAATCAACCTAAGCATAAAAATTCAAGTTTAAGACAAGTGTGTTGTATAATAATTAACTTTTAACAAATAAAAGAGAGAATAGACAAAGCAAGAGAATTGAGAGCGGACTTAATTGATATGGACCTCTCAAATTTTGGCTTAATATGAAGGAGAGATTTGAACATAACAAATCAGTAATACTCCCAATAGCTCAATATGAATAGACCCATTTGTGTTTACAAGATTATAAATATGTCAGTGAATATAATTCTTTTTATTTGGCATTGTCTCTATACTAAGATTATGTGGAGAGAGAATATCTGTAGAAAATAAGTAGGAAAAAATGTTCTCCACTCTCTCCACATAATCTTAATTTAGATCAAATAAAATAGAATTATATTTACTAACAGATTTATAGTCTTGTAAAAGCAAGTGGGTCTAGTCATATTCAGCCGTTTGGAGTATTACTGATTTGTTATATTCAAATCTCTTATTATCCATAATTGGAGTGGATCTTTTATATCCCTATACTGAACTCGTAGTCCTTCTTTGATATGATGCTGAAGGAAAATAGTAACCTTTAATTTTTCCTGCAAGGATGCCATGTTTCCTTCCTTAATCACTTCCCCTAGTTTCATAGATTCTAGATGGAGAGCTAGGGGTGTTCAAAAGCGGTTAACCGAATTGGTTAACCGCTTTTTTAAACCGAACCGGTTTTTTGGTTCGAAAAAATTCCCGAATCGGTTTGGAGGGATAACCGGTTTTCTTTTTTTTTTTAAAAAAAATTTTCCTAAATTAAATTGTAAATATAAATAATACATATTCAAATAAAAATTAAACATTCATACATATCTATCACCGCTACTAACAATACATTAAAAATATTATTATTTTTTTATTTAATATATAATTTTTATTTTTATTTAATATATATATATATAAGACCAGTTCAAAAAACTAGTTTCGGTTAACTGCTTTTTATTTTTTCCTGAACCGGAAATTCGGTTTTTTGAATTTTTCTAACCAAAACCGAACTGTTTTTTTCATTAATTGGTTTTTTGGTTCGGTTCAGTTCGATTTTTGCACTTTTTTGAACACCCCTATGGAGAGCAATGTCTAGGGCCCATTCATCATAGTTATTTCCATCTAGTCTCAAGGCCTCCTACTGGAGCTTCACAAGGTTCGACATTTCCAAAAACTATTCATTAATAAGAGTAATGTAATTAGTTATGCATCTTTTGGATGTATGTCATAGGATGCATTCAGGCATCCAAAACTAACAAATGAAATGTAAAATGCGATAATTGTAAAGAATCAATAAATAAAATGACAATTATATATAAATCCGTCCATTAAGGGGGTATTTAAAAATAGTAAATAGATCCGACTATAGAGGTAGAATTTAATAATAATAAATAAATCTAACCATAAAAGCGAAAACAGAGATTAAAGAAGACATATAAGATCGAAATACATAGTTTCAATAAGGGTGTAACTTTATACTTGTTAAACTCTTCGTACTGATAACGTGTTGTAATATTAATGATGATATTTAGTAATAACTAAAGAAAGATAAAGTAAACAAAGTAAATAACAAGGACTAAAGTGAGAGAATTGAGAGATGTGATTGATATTACTTAATCCCTCAAAAGTTTTTGGATGTAAAGAATGAAAGGGAGGGGGGGTATTTGTACCATCACACCCTCCCACTTTCACCTCCTCAAGTTTCCTCCACCAATGAGTAAACGGTGGAGGTTCATTGCTTATAATAAACTGGTCATATTCAGTCTAATCCTTATTGTTACTCGACATCTTGCCACTTACAACACCACGATCTAACTATCCAATCACAACCCTTAAATCTTTCATTCATTTTGGATTAAAAACATGACAGTTGATCTCGACTATAGAAAAGGCCAGAAGGTCCGGCATGAGGCAGTAGAGCCAACCGCACAGGACTTTGGGCTCCCTCAGCAGCATTAAAGAGGCCAGTATTGCACGTTATGTCAGTTTTGACAAAGCCCGGGCAAACACAATTCACCAAGAAAGCTGGGTATTTCTTGGCCAGAATCCTTGTGTAAGCATTCATAGATGCTTTTGAGAGAATGTATGCGGACAGATATGTCGGCCAACCTTCTTTTTCTAAGGATCCTTCTTTCAGATCCTTGAGAAACTTGTTCAATTCCTCATCAATTCTTTCTTCTGTAAGGCTTTCAACATCGTTTAGCACTTCTTTAGTCCCTTCATTTGGTATATGCTGTACATGTCAACATTATGCATGTTTCAATAATATATTTAAATTAATTTCAATGATATAAATTAGCTCTGCAAGTCACTTTTTTTACCTTTAATAATCCTAGAAGAGAGGAAACATTGACGATTCTTGGTGAATCGGATAATTGAAGGAGGGGAACAAGAGCTTCGACCATTCTTTTTGCACCATAATAGTTTGTGTTCAGGCATTCTTCTGCCGTCTCAGAAGTTTGAGATGCAAGTTCATTCCAATTGGCATGCTCTCCCTGTGGCTGCATCATGCAAACAAACTTAATCCCCTTGGAAATTAATTTGAAGAAAGCATGTACAGGTGAATAATGCAGGGTTTATTGGAGCTACACTAAACGCTGATGCATTTGTTAGAGCCACAGAACATATATAATTGGATTCCGGTTGTACTTTTACAGCCTCGTTTTCTCCTTATATGCCTATTAATGGAAGAAAAACTAAGTGTAAACTCTGGTGAAGTTTCTTGGCGATTATATCCTTTCTTAATAAAAGTGTCCGCAATTTCTGAAAAACATTGTGCTGGATTACAGGAGATACTATCTCCATTATCAGCGCATATACTCAGTAATCACCAATCTATAGAATGCAGTTATATTAAGAAAAAGATTGAAATTTCAAGGAAAATGAGGGTTGGCCTGAATACCAATATATCAAGTTTTCCAAATTGAGTGGCGATGAAATCTGCAAGAGAAGCAACACTAGCAGGGTTTCCCACATCAAGTTGATGAAAAATCACATAGTCAGAGAGACCAGGCTCAGACTCCTTCAGTTTTTGAACAGCTTCAAGGCCTCTGTTCTCATCTCTGGAAGTTAGCACAACAACAATCCCATTAGAAGCCAACTGTCTACATATTTCAAATCCAATTCCCTTGTTAGCTGCTGTCACAACTGCTTACCTGGTACACGAAAACATGTAATATTCAGAAAGAGTAATGCTATATGCACTAACCAATGTGTAATAATCCAGTACTAACATTGGAAATTTGAAATTTTTTTTTGGAGGGAATTTCAAATTTCTAATGTTAGTATTTGGATTAGTACACATTAGTTAGTACATATAGTTTTATTCTATTCAGAAATTAAAAGTCTGACTAGCAAGACGTATATATATGGTAAAATCTTGTTTCAATTTTTTGCATAGCTATTTCTAATATGTTGCTACTTCATGCAGCTTGTTTAAGTTTAACAGATGAATTCTAAAGCCTTTTCAAAATCCACCACGTTAACACTGGTCAAACTAAGCTAAAAACAAGAGGAAACCAAAAATCAAGAACATTTATATACCTCTTTGTCGCAAGAAAGGGTGATGTTTGTTCCATTTCCATATATATTTGTTGAGGGGCAGGAGCAGTGTATGAACGTTAAACTAAAGAAATGAAATGGGCTTTCCTGTTCTTGAAGGTCTGTGTAAAGTTCTGGTTTTAAGTAGGGCTGAAAAAAAAAATTGAAAACCGAATCGAATCAAAACATCAGATCGAAACCGAATCAAAAAACCGGTTTTTCAAATTAACCAATTCGGTTTTGGTTTTCAAAAATAACCAAACCAAATTTTTTATTCAATTAATGGTTTAAGGATAATATTAAATCGATTAGTCGAAACCGGTTTTTAAAAAACTAATAATAAATAAAATATCCTTACCAACTGATATGAATTTCTACAAACTCAATTCATATACTACCCTAAAACAACCACTTTTAACTCAACCTAGGCTAAGTTTTCATTCAAGTCCTTATGACCATTCGGTTATCACCCTTCATGCACTTTCACAACTATCAAATGATTAAAAACAACTCCTTTCAACAAGCTCCAGTCAATCACCAAATCATTTATGTTCAAATGCACACAAATGGAATCATACACACCATGCAAAACAAAATCCGGAAAATGAGTCTACTTGAAAATAAAGGAAAACAACTTACATAAGAGATGACCAAGGACTCAATCAAGCCTAAAGGAAACTCCACCAGCTTGAAAGATACTCCACCACCAAGTTTGGCCGAACTTGGGTAAAGGAAACAAGAGAAAACTCTTTCTCAAGACAAGTCACTATTCATTAATATTCCAAAGTCCCTTTACAAAATGATCAAGTGGCCTTTATATAGGCTTTACAAAAATTAGGGATTTACCCTAGCAAATATTACACAATGAAAACATTAAAATATTACATTCAAATACTTAAACAAAAGTCCACCACACATGTTCAAATTAAGCCATAACCATTTAATGACCAAGTGGGCAACTTTCCCCTAATTTAAGGACCCTTGTCCTTAACAACAATTTTTAGGGTTTTGCCTCCAAAATTTGAATCAAATGACACCCAAAACTTGGGCTTGGGCCAATGGAACTTGCTCCCACTTCTTGTACACGTTTTAGGCCATAAAGATGGGCTTGAGCCGTGCCTTGGAACCTTAAGACCTCTTGGACAATTTTGTGAACTTCCTTGAGTGCTTGGGATGCTTGGGCCGAATGTTGATCTTCATGTTGCCCTTGAGTCTTCAATGAAATCCCTAGCAATTGTGATTGGCATGATGGGTTAGGATTCTCATCACCAACAGATGCTGTTGTGTATCAATTTTGTCCGAAATCACCGTATCCATGATCATAGAAATATTCTAAACTTAACAGACAACCACGACAGAACTGAACTGAGAGCCTATTAAGAGAAGTTTACAAAAAGATGAGCATCCAACTAGTAGACATTACTTAGAAGAACTAATGCAAAGAGAGTGTTTTAGCTAGGGAGAGACATAGAGAGAGAAATTTTTATTTCATTCTTTATGCCTTCTAAAGAAGGGAGGCCTCCTTTTATAGCGAATGAGAAACGCTTATAAAAAGACACGTAAAAGACTGAGACACTAAAATAAAAAAAACACAGATGTAAGCATATGAGCTTGTCGATATACAGTAGATATACGTGATACAAAGTTAAATTAAAGAATTTTACGAGATTCTAGGTTCAATTTTGGGTATTCTTCTGCACATTTTATTAGGTCTGCTTCTCCATGCAATTATTTTTCTTTCGTCTTTTTCTCCTCCTTTTCGAACTTCTCAATTTGTCTGCTTTTCTTCCTCTTACTTTCACCAATTTCCTTTTTCTTTTTCATCTTCTTCTCTTCGTCTCCTTCTCCACTTTTCCTTTTCTTTATTGTCTTCTTCTCCTTTCACTTTTTTTTTTCTTATCTATTTCTTCTCTTTCGCTACTTTTTCTGTTTGAATTTGGATAAGAGACGAGAAGAGAACGCCATAATGACCTCAGCATTCTTCTTCTTAGATGCTTTGGTACATTTTTAGTTTTAGGGTTTGTTTGAAAGTTTCGCATCT